TATATATATATATATATATATATCATTATAACTTTTATTTATATACGTTATTTATATACGTAACTTTTATATATATATATACGTAACTTTTCTGTAAAAAATAAATATCAGACCACAATGAAATGTAAATTGCATAGATGAGATGTGAAGGATACATTCATAGTTTTCACACTTGCGTACTTGTAGTTCTTCCCTAAAAGCCGGTTGCCCAGGGCCGTACAGACTCTCGACAACTTGAAGCACTCGCGTCGGCCGGTGTTAATCTCTTGGCGCGCAGTCGAAATTCTCGGACCCATGCTGCTGACGCGCTTACGCTGCTTCTCCAGCATTTCCTCGGCTAACCTCAGCTGTTCCTTGAGTTTCTTCACCTCGATGGCCAAGCTATTCTGCAAGTCCTTCTCCATGTCCCACTGACGAAGGTTCCCCGACATATCCGCAAAATGATCCAGAACAGCGTAACTGCACAACATACATGTAAAATACAATTTAATATTTGTGTATATTTGAGTAATATTTGAGTGTACTTTTTTATTAAGTTAGCTCAAAAGTCTTTTTCCATGAGCACTAAACAAGTGTTGATATGAACAAACCGCAATATGCCGGCAAATAAGACACGTTTTTCACGGGAAAATATTTCTGAATCAACCTCAAGGCTGGGAAAGTTACTTTTGCAAAGTAACTGATTATCGTTACTCGTTATCTATTGGAAAATTAACTCGTTACTGTTATATTCAAAAAGTAACTAATTGTTAAAATTTCTTTTTTTTACCAAGTACCGAGGATTTTAGTACGATTAGCTGTTGCCTAATCCATATACATGTATATTCTACATGTGTAAGTAAAGATAACGATTCTATATTTGTTACCATTATCTGAACAATTGTTAATTACCGTTATTAGTGAAAAAAATAACGTCGTTACCACGTCTGAGAAGAGTAACTTACAACGGTAACAGCGTTGCAAGTAACGCGTTACTTCCCAACCCTGATCAGCTTAAAGTTAGGTATACATTGAGCGAAGGAATAAAAAACGAACAGCGAATGCAAACTTTCGTTGTTACAATTCGGAAAATGTGTACGCCATAACGAGTCCGAATAGGACGTCTTGGTCCGATTTACTCATAATGTAGTTTACTAAAGGAAGTTTGCGCGCGTTTAAAAGCGAATCTACACACTCATCGTACGCAGAAAAAAATTATTCTTCTAATCAAGAACAGATATTCTCATGTATAAGGATATAATTTTTTCGAAAGATTTTTAGCCAAGTAAATACTTGCATCGATACAAATTCAAGATTAAAAATCTTCTGAAAAGATTATAATATTTTTGTTTATATACGTAAGAATATCTTGATTTTTGAAGACTAATTTCTTTATGTACTGCATATTCGCTACTCGTTCGCTCAGTGTGTACCCGCCTTTACGTAACGCATCTCTGAAGATTCTCTGACGTCCTTACCGTCTTGCGACTAATCTGTTCTCGATGTCGGACAAGTACCGTTGCTGCTCCATTTTGGGAAGACCCGCGAGAGACTCGAGTTCCGTCTTCATGTCCCGTTTGAGTACGTCCCAAACATCACCTGTGTTATCGGCATCGCCGCTGGCGTTCACGTTCAAATTAGGCGAAAGATCCTTCGTTCCATCATCGTCACGGTTGTTACTCGCCGAAAACAATGACGATACCGAGGCATTGCGATTCAATTCACGCTCACACTCATGGAAATACGATATTGTGGTTTCCATGCAGTCCATGAGTTCTTGCCTGCTCGCGTTCGAATTTAACACGGTGGTCGCGTCGGAGATATCGCTCTCATTGGCCTTGTCATTATCGTCGCTTTTACCGGCCGTTCCCTCGTCGGGCTTCTCCGCGACGACGTTACTGTCTTCGATGGACTCTTCGCTGCGGCCGGCGTTCGCCGTGTCGTGCCATGATGAGCTCGACGCTGCCTTATCGTTTATGATGACCACCCGCTTGGTCGTGTCCTGCTTCAGCTGCACCTTCACGTACTTCCGATTGATCTCGTCTTTGGACAACGTCCTCAGAGCAGGCCTGAACTGTTGCTTATCGCTCATCGGCTGATGCTTGTTCGCAAATTCGACCGAGTTCTCGCCCGTTTTGCCTTCCACGCTGACATGAGTCGGCGAAAGCTCATTGGTGATTCGAATGCTGAGATTCGGCACCGTTTTCTTCGTCGTTTTAGCCTGCAATGAATTTGTCTGCTTAGCGATGTTCGTCGAGATGATATTTTTGGTGACAGGCACGCGGGCGGCGTAGTTCAACGCAGCCGTGCTCTTCGCCACGTCGGTGGTTTTGGCCACTGCTGCCGACGATTGCTGAGAGCCTTTCTCCGATTCCTTCGACTCAATCTGATTCTGTCTCACGGGCGTGTTCGACATGCTCTTGGATACCTTGGATACGCTGTTACTCTTGGTCACCACTTTGCTCTGCTGTTTCATCTTCTCGCGTTCCAAGATCTGCTGCTTCAAACGACGGTACTCCTCTTGCTTCGACGCTGAGAGATGCCTCACTGCCTGCAAAGACAAAGCAGGAGAGAAGTATGAAACGATGAAAGATAAAGAACGAGTCGCGTCTTGGATGAGACATGTGGGTGTCGTTTCTCTTGGATTTTCTCCAACGTTTCAATTCACCTCATCGGCAGATCGCTCATCTCCTTGACGAGGTGAACTGAAATATCAGGGTTGTCGTAGAAAATGAATGTTAAAATTCCTCGATTTTTCCATGTTTTCCAAATGACAACGGAGAATTTTGAGCAACATGAAATCTTAAACTTTAACGTTTAGAAGCAAGAACTGCAGGAAAGCTTATATCATTAGAAGTAACACAAATTAAAAAAAAAAAAGTTTAGTAGCATAATATAATACTGAATGCAAATTCAGGTCAATAAAAGACAAATGAATATTGAAATAAAGAATACAGTTGAAAGCATTTGATAGAATTGTAAACAAAGTTAAAAAATCCAAATTTTCTTCTATCTTCCCCCGACTTTTTCAGGTTTTTCCTGGACATTTTAAATTTCCATGACCTTCCCCGGTTCTCTATGCAACTTTGCCAATATTTGCAAGACGTATAATAAACAGATAAATGAACAAATAGACAAATAATGCGTCGCCTTACCAATGGGGTGTGCATGTTAGACGGATCCTTCTCTGGATCCGGTTGCGTCACCGGCGTCGGCGTGCTCCTCTTCGTCGCTTGGGGGGACAGAGCGGCAAGTTTGGAAGAGGAGGAAGTCCCAGTCTCATGTTCCTTCCGCACTTCGCGCAGGAACTTATGCAGACTCTTCTCGAAGTCGGTATTAAGTTCCTGCGCGTTCACGGCCGACGTTGCGACGGGCGGGGCCTTATTCCCTTTCTCCGATTCGGGTTCGCTGTCGGTGTCCGAGCCGAGATTGATGACGATACGTTGCGTTTCGCTGGCGTACGCCATCGAGGACTTCTTCACCGTCGGTCCGTTGGCTGACCAGACGTTGTCCTGGTGGGCGGCCGGCATCGGCTGCTTCGTCTTGCCGAGGATGTTCGCTTCGCCGAGCTTCTGCGGGTTCAGCTTGCGTTGCACTATCGTGTTCTGAAACTTCTTCGCGTTGTTCACCACCTTCGTGCTGGCCGGAGCCTTCTTCACCAACTTCTTCGAAAGCCCCTTCGTCCCCATCGGCACGACGTTAGGTCTCTTCTTGACGCCGACGAGTAAGCCGTTGTTCCCCGCGTTAGCCGTCGCGCTCACCGACGCGCTGTTCCCCGACACCTTCAGCGCGGCTGCCTGCTTACTCGACGTCGCGTTACAGTTCGTGGTAACCGACGTCGTCGGAGTGACGCTGCTGCAAACAGCGTCCGACGACTTCGTTGCCCGTTTCGTCAGAGACGCCAAGAGTATAGCTCGCAGCTCGTTCTCGTCCTCGTCGACGCTCTCTCGCCTGTCCTTCGTCGCCTCCGTCGCTTCGTTCGTAGCTGCGCCGATGTCGAGCAGGCTCGCCGATAAACCAGGACACTCGACGCTGCTCTTCGTCGACGACGTCTGCTGCTTCTTCTGCTCCTCCGGGTCGTCGGAAGACGCAGCGTGCTGATCGCTCTTCTCAACGACGTCTGTGTTCTCTGCTCTACCGTCTTTATCAGTAAAGTCGGTCGGCTCGGCTGGAGCCTCAGCGCTGTCCACCTGCAAGTTCGTCGACTCCTCGCTCTCTCGCGCTTTATCGTCGTCGACACTCTTCCTCTTCTTTCTCTTCTTAGACTCGGGCTCGGCGGTCGGTCGTCGCGCAGAGGACGGCGGCACGGTCGTACCGGTATTTACATTCTTATTTACATCGCTATTTGTACATAAGCCACTCCACTCCTCCGTGAGCAGTTCCGCGAGGTCGATATTCAGGTGGACGGCTCTCTTGGTGCGTTTCCGCCGTTTCGAGGATGAAGCGCTGTCGTTCTTCGCGGCGAGCGTGAGATCGGTTTTTTCGCTCGCCTTGTGTGACTCGCCATTCGTGTCGTTCTCCGGACTCTCGTTTACGGACTCGCCGAACACTACGGGAGCCGTCAGCACGCGGTGACGCTTCTTCGGGAACGGCGCTAATTTGATCGGCTTGAAGATGGCGCCGCTTCTCGTGCCGTTCGCGTCCGTGACGGCTGCCACCGGCTGCATCTCGGCGCTCTTGAAGCTCGGTTCCGTGTGCGGAAGTTCCGACTTCGCTGGCAACGGCTGCTGCAGCTGCTTGTTCGACTTCAGAATCGGTACGGGCACCAGCGTCTTGTTGATCAACGTGGGGATCTTATTCGCGTCTTTAGTGATATCCGGGACACCCTGCATATACAAGGGCTCCCTGCTCGCGTCGGCTTGGCAGTAGACCGTCGAGTCGCCCAGAACGTAATCAACGCTCGGCGACGGGTTCCTGTCGACGTCGACGGTGGGCAAAGCCGCCTGAGGACTCCTGTTCTCCGGAGAATCGTAAGCAGCAGTGACCGAGACGCCGTTATTGTTCAGCAACGTTGTTCCCAAGGCAGACACTGTCGGGACGTTCACGCTAGGATACCCGAAAGCCATATCGTAAGCGCACGCGCTATCCTGCTGCACGTTGGCCAAGATCGGCTGTTCCGTGTATGTGGAGGCCGCGAGCAGGTCGCCGCTGGCGAGTCGCTCCGTGAGGTTCTGCGACTGCCGGCTCACGTGGAGGAGATTCGGGAGCAGAGAGGGCACCGGAAGATCGAGAAGAGCTCGATGCGACGGCACGTCGGAAGGCTCCGAGTACACGGTCAAATAACCGCACTTGCTGCCGACGTCGTCGAGGTTCTGCTGGCAACAAGTGCCGTCCAGCAGGTCGCATTCGATGCAGTCGGGGTGGAGGAGCCCGTAGCCGGGTGACTTCTGAGCGTCGTTCGAGTCCAAGTGGAAGCTCTCGTCGCTGGGCAACGGCGACGACGCGAAGTGGTTCGGCGAGGGCGTGTACGACGGGAAGACGTCGTCCGTCGTCGGCATGGCGTCGTCGCCGAGCGGCGGCGGTGGCGGCCTCCGCTTGCCGCTCTTCAAAAAGATCGGGCTGTTGTTGAGGTTGATGAACGACACGTCCGACGGTTCGATGCCGAGCAGCTCCGTGTCGATCGGCATGTCGACGGTGTTGTCCGTCGGCGAGTACGGCAGCTTCTCCTTTTCCCGCTCGACGTCAGTGTCCAGCTCCATGTCCTCGATGTGATTGCTGTCGCTCGACGGCGGCGCCGGCGGCGTGCACGGCGGCGAGGCGAGCTTGAGCAGCTCATCGTGAGGCACGGGGATGTTCTCGAGGAAGCTTCGCGTGAACGGGCTCTCGCTGCGCTTCGACACCGCTTTCTTCTTGCTCTTCGCCCGTACGCCGCGCTGCACCCTGTTCTGATGTTTCTTCATGACCGCCGAGCGCAGCGCGATCATCCGCAGCTGCAGGTCCTCCTCATCCTGATCGTCGTTCATCTTCGCAGCCGCCGCCGCCGAGGTCGCCTTCTCCTCCGACTCCATCGGATGCTCCAGCCTGATAACGAGCTTGTTCTTCTGCTTCGTCTCCAACGCCTTCTGCCGCAGCAGCGCCAGGTCGTCCTCCTCGTCGAGCTCCTTGCCGGTCGTGCCTTGCGTCGAGGGCTTCTCCTTGAGACCGTGAACCACGCTGCCGCTGTTATCCGGCACCTTCTTCATCATATTGCTCAGCTTCTCCTTCAGCGAGGCCGGCTGATGCTCCTTGTTCCGCCTGACGCTCGACTCCGGCGTGTGCGCGCCCACGGAGTCGAGGTGCTTGACTTTCTTCAGCAACCTCGTCACGTCGCCATGTCGGTCGCCAGTGTAACCAGCGGACGACGACGTCGGCTGCTTCCTGGAGCTCGTTCGCACTGGCGAGTGCGAAGGCTCCGGTCGCTTGGGCGAGGACCTGAGCCTTCGTGGCGACTTCCTCGGCGCTCGGGAATGATCCAGCGGTGAGCGGGACGGGCCGTGAAAAGAGGGGTGCGCGGGAGAGCGGTGCCTTCGCAGAGGCGACCTCGTTATTAACCGTGTCTTGCTGCTTCTGTGAACCGGGCTCGAGCCTCTGTAGTGCATTCTACCGGACGTTTCCTTGGACGTGTCCGGCTGGAGCCTGGAGCTGCCCTTCAAAGTGCTGAAGCACTCCGTTATGGGCAAATCGGCGGAGGCCGGGGAGATCAGGTCGTCGATAGTGAGATACTCGTACTCCTTTTTCCTCTTCTTCTTCTTCTTCACTCTGGTCTTCGACCGCGTCGTCAGCTGCTTGGACGCGTCCGTGAGACCCACAATCTCCATGTCGCTGTCGCTCGAGATAGGCACCAGGTCGTCGTTCTTCTCTTGCAACGTCGACAACGCGTGCTTCATCGTCGCGCAGCTTGTCTCGTTCACGTGATGGCGGTTCTCCTTGCCCTTGACTGGATCTTGTGAAGGAAAATTCATTTCTACTTTATTAGACGAACCGGCTTCCGACGAGCTAAACGTTTAACCATGTTGCGACTATGTTATCCAGGCCGAGTATTGTCTTAACACTCTGATCGCCGCACTGATTTTCATCTGTTACATCTGTTTAAATTACTAAAATTTCAATAACTAGAGGCATGGTATATAAAATAAATTCGACTCTTGATGCATTCAACTGTTAACTCATGTTATTGGATTATAATCAATAATAAATTTAATTTGTCATATGCAATAATTAAAGACACGGTAAATAAATTCGACTCTTGATACATATATCTGTTAATTCATGTCACTATATTACCGTTGATCATAAGTTTAATTCGTTATATGTAATTGTCTTATATACAAATAAATGAATAAATGAAATATGGCAGTATCTCAATGGTCTGCATTCTGAATTCTGTTTTATCATTAAGAGTGCCTCAAATATAGTATCTTATCTCAGTTAACAAAGCATTTTAAAGGTATTTTTATCAGAAGAAAGTTCAGAACATAGGTCAATATCAGTTCTCCCAGTGACCTCTATGTCAATTGATGCGTCAATAGTTACTCCTGCTTAACACACAAACATTTAGGAAGCACATGAATGATTCAAGTCCCTCAAAGACTTCTTTCCTCTATTGATGGAAAGAAACAGTTGCATATATGTATCTTTGAAGCATCATGCCTACTGTTAACAAGGAAGGGAGACTCACTTGTCCCAAAAGAAAATACAACTGCTCTTGTCTTTGCTTTTGCATATTATTTCAGCAACATATTGGATATTTAGAAAATTCGGAAGCAAAGTTGGGAGAACTTACTCAAATTTGATCTATGATAAATATCAAGTACGTCACAGGTGTAAGAAACAACATACAACATAGATCAGAACATGCCTTTACCTCTTCTGCTCTGGCTCTTGGAATAGTGCATCTTGGAGGAAGCGGTGCACCAGGATGCACATTCTCCCCATGATAACTTGCAAACAGAACATGTCCGTCGGGTCCTGACGACGTAGCCGCAGGTCAAATGCCCTATACCGCCCTCCTCTGACGAGCTGACATCCTCCAAGGAGATCTCTCCTTCCTCCTTCTCATCGAGGATATCGATAGTCTCCGTACAGCCGCTTGACAGATCGCTCGCCATTGTTAATATGAACTTACCCGCAACGACGCGACTGAACATTCAATTACGCATAAGAGGATTCGATAAATGTCACGACGATCGACTATTGACCATCGCGGACGAACATGACTCACTGATATCAGATGAAGTTAGGTTATGAGATTGAAGGATTGTCAGGAAAGATTCACCAGGTTAACCGAGATGCAGGATTACGGGGGGGGGGGAGGAGGAGGGAGAATTGTTCTGTGTGTAGAATGTGTACGTATTTCGAGGGAACGCACGTTGGAGGAACAAATATCTCTGTTCAACAGTGCTCGAGTGTACTTATCAGTGTTTCGTTATATATGTCGGCGTACATAACCGATGATAGTGATGAATACGATATTTTTTTACGATAATTATTATTTTGAAACTGTTGTCAAGTTGTAACTGTTATAACTATTAGCCGATTAGTTAAAAAAAAAATAGTAGCGTTCACCAAAAAAAAACCGTTCTCGCAGAATTTTATCGAGTGCATTCAGTGTTACAACTGCTTACTGTATTTCCAAGGTCTAACATCTTCCTCTCAACACCCTAGAAATTCTCTATCCAACTACCAAACGACGAATCCGACAAATCAGTTGTATGACAAATGAAATTATCTGTGTTGCGGAAAACACAAGGCTGCGTTCAGAAATCTTATTGGATGAGTAAAGTAGTATTCACCTCGAGAGTTCACTCGCGGGCGGTTATAAAAGAGTACTCCGCAGGAAAGAGCGCAGACCAGTGTTGTTAACTTAGCTTATTTTCCGTCATTTCTAGCTTTTTGAAATGTCACTTAGCGTGCAAAAATCGTGATTTAGCTGCTGGCGTATTTTTTGGATTTTTTAAAAATCGAAATTTTAGTTTTAAAATAAGATAACTCTTTTTAGAACATTTTCTTAATTTGGCATTATTATATATGGTTTATTATTATTGAAGAGATTTAATATCAAGACTTACACACACGAATTTTCATAAATATAATGTAAAACATTCTCTATGAATTAAAAAATTAAATCAAACGCTTCCGAAACGTTAGATTGAGAACTGCGAGTGGTAGGCTTTTAAAGACTAGTAGCTAACCAATAAAAGAAGAAGAGAGAGTAAGAGAAATGGAGAAAGAAGGAAGAAATATACTACGATGTTTAGGTTGAGATTAGGATGCATTAGGTATATTGCGTTACTTGCTGTTGACATTTATTGCCCATTGCACACCGGACGTAATAAACAACATCCAATGAGAGCTCTTCTTTCTAGAAAGAAACTCGCATACAACAAGCGTTAAATCCGTATCAAACTACGGATTGGGAATTGAGATTATATTATATTCGGCCAATTAGTGCGAAATTAACTAAATTCAAATTTAGTGAAATTTAGTAAACTTTAGACTGATAAGTCAAATTTCAATTCACAAGCATATATTATGATTAGCCAATTAGAATTTGATTTTAAAATTCGCAAAGATGGTACAATATTTTATTGTAAGTATAAGTACATTGATATTAATTATATATTGGCGTCAAATATATATATTTAATTTGTTATTTCGTTTCATATTAAATATAATATGAATTTATTTCGTTTCATATCTCTAATATGTTATATTATTTAATATAATTGTACTTACAATAAAACTAATTACGTGTTAATTTTAATTCCTTTCTTAGAGTAGAGTTCATAATCAAGTTTTATATCTAAAATTTTAAGTTCATCTACAGATGCTGTACGGTTTGTTTTATTAGCTATGAAATATCTGAAGATAAACTAAGTTTTTAATAATTATGAATACGAAAAAGATAGATAAGTTTTTAATAATTATGAATACGAAAAAGATAGATAAGTTTTTAATAATTATGAATATGAAAAAGAAACACTAAATTTTTAATAATTATAAATGTTCATATATTTAAATATGTAAACATTTATATTCTGTACATAAAAGACATCTTAAATGTAAGATTAGACTATGAATACTAGCTTTAAAAGCGTATGTTATACGCACCACACATACATCGTACATACTTCACACAACCACGCAGATATATATTTGTTATTTTGGCTTTTTCCTGGCGTATTTTATTCATATTTTAGCTTATTTCTGGGATATTTTAGTAAGACATATGACAGATTTTGAAATTTCGAGTTGGCAACACTGGCGCAGACTGCTTTCGTCTTCCATCGCACTTAGGTCGATAGAACAGTGACTATACGCTTCGTGTGTATTCACGATTCTGTTTGGACATTGTAGTCATCTTGATGGTGGATTGGCATTAAGTGCCTTAATGCTATCCTGGTAGTGAGATATCGTTTCGCAATTCGTGGCCGTGTGCGCTACAAAATCTTACGGGCGGAAGACTGAGAAATAATTCCACGGAGCAATTCCGCCGAACAATCAATCGGATCCTTCGTCAATTAATTCGGTATCGAGCGTAGCTCGCGCCTTAACTCTCCACCGTTTCGCTAAAACTGAATCGGTACTCGTTTCTACACCCCCCTCTGAGTGCTCCAAACAGTAAGCATCTCAACTTTTTATCTGAATGATAGTTTCAAAGCAGGATGTGATGGAACTATATGCAGAGGTGATAATTACATTGTTAGAATGAGAATCTTTTTTTCGTTGAGGTGTTTGAACAAATATTCAGAGAGTTCATTTAAACCATTGGTGATATCATCTTCCTTTATGTCTTCACTATTCGCACGCAATTGTTCACATTTTTTTCACTCATGGGGCTCCAGATTTATGCTCTTACATAAATACTTGTGATCATTGTAAGTCGATCGTACCACTTTCTTCTTCTTTTTCATGTGTCTTGCCCGGTCCTCCGGATGTTGGCAATCACTCTGGCCATACCTCACCATATTGATATTCTGGGAATTAAATAAACTGAAGTAGTTTCTTGTTGCCTTCTTCGGTTAAACATTGTTTAAACATGAGGTTTCACACAGTGATTACTGAGACTGTATATGGACCAACAGCTTAACGTCTCTTCCGACAAATGGAGCCCAGTTTTCCATACATGAATCCTCCACTCTTTTATTCAATATGGAAAGCGCAGCTTGGAATAAAATTCTGGTGAGGTAGGACTTGAACGCGGGTTCTCCGCGCTATAAGGTGCTTTATCACCACCAAGACCACACTGCCGCTCATTTCACCACTCTCTTGCACCATATAATTGTTGCTTCGTAAGATATGATAGGTTGCTCACACTTGATATCGATGTACAGGATATTGGATCAACATACGACCCATTACGACGGGTTGCCCGCCCAAAGATGTGCGCGTCCAGATGTTAATTTCGGATTTGTCGATATAGTCATACCTTTCCAACGAAGTTATAGCGTTTCTAATTATCCTAATTATTATAATAAAAACAAAAAAGGTATGTGAGTGATTATAGTACATCACAGGATACTGGCCAAGATGTGAATCCACAATGTCTTTGCAAACCAAAATCTTCAAATATTTACCATTAAACAACTTCTCAAAGAGCGATTATCTCTATTTTTTCCATTCAATGTCCCACATTCTGAATCAACTTTCATCTAAACAAAAATTTAAGCATATCTAAAATGGTTAACTTTCCAAATCTTCAAGAAGCAGTGATCAAATTATACTTAATGCCTGTTAAAACTTTCTTCATGAAAAGAGACTTGTCGATGTATGTCTGCTTTCCCACAATCTCAGGAAAAATTGAAACATCTTCAAAATCGGTGGAATCCGTCTTCGTTTGTATTCTTCTTCTTCTTTTTACGTTAAAGCCTTAAGCCTGTTTTTCCTCTCGCTTATATGGTTGTGGTGCATATATGCTGATTATATATACAGGCATACGGGACCTACAGTTTAACGGCGACTCCAAACGGCATACGTTTTGTGAAAGATTCTGTGGGCGGAGTCATAATTTCTGGTGGCTTTGCCAAGACCGTCCAGAGGACGACACGAGCGTATATAAATTTTTCCGGTTCTACCGGGGGAATCGAATCTAGGACTGCTAATGTCGCAGATCAATGTGCTGTCTGCTACACCATGCTCACTCTCCGTTTGTATTCTAAAAATACAAAACAACCAGTTAGCCCATTGATGATAATTTATATCATGCTACCACCACAACTAAATAAGAATATATTTACTTCACTGCTCTCTTCACTCAGATCACTATCAGAAGACATTTCTCTCAAATAATTTTGGGCTATTGTACAGATAGGTTTTATACTATTGTAGATAATTTATATATATATATATATATATGTGTGTAAATAGATTTTCTTCTTCTCTCAAAACTAGTATACCAGTTACACCGTCTGCGCCGTACATATTTTCCTCCATATCTTTCAATTCCCCTTCATTCCTTTTCATCCCCTCTATCTTCCCGTTTCGCCCCTCCATGAAGGCTTCTTTATCCTTTTACGCGTCTTTATCCTATTACGCGTCTTTAGAAAAAGATGGAATGGTACCCGTACAGCAACTATTTCTTTCTAATTTCTAACGTGTTCAAACAAAAGGAGACCGCGCTAGTTATTATACATCTATGGCCGATAACTATCGGCTAGAGAACGTGTCGTTGCGCAAGTATAACATATGGCAAAAAAGCTGCGCAACGTATCGATCCGATAATTGTCGATAGACGGTTACAGAATCCTTCTATAGGACCGTCATGCGATATGCACTTTAAAAGTGTGAAAGAGGTACAAAAATGTATCGACGATTTCATTGACTCAAAGTCACCATCTTCCTTTTTTTGAGAGGGAATTCTTCAGCTACCCGATAAGTGAAGAGAAGTATTAGAAAATCATAGCGAATATTTCGAAGATTAATATGTTTGTTATTTTTTTGTAAATAAAATCTCAAGTTTTTCCAAAAAGCAGCGAGTTAATTTGCACACCCAATACGTATGTCGCAAATTTGAATTTTACTTATTTTACTTCCTACGTTTAAAACTATTACAGTTTCTCTAATAAAAAAGCAAAAATTGCACCTATAAGAAATATACCAATATAAACCAATATAATACAATCAAATTCTTTATTATATATCGAGATTTTATAAAAATATTTTACAAAAGTAAAATGTTTTTGATCAATTACTACACAATCTACGATTTCATTTGAACCAACATCAAATTATTTATCACTTTTCACTGAAGGGTAGTGGAGCTACTTGGTAAGCTTCCTTTGCTGAAACTTGCTTTTTAGAACATTGAAGTCGGACGTGACGTAATTATCGAGTAAATTCTTATCAAACAGGAATCGTGCCAACGCTTGGTCTCCAATGCCGGAAAGCACGGATACGAATCTTCCCATTTCATTTATACTTTTCATCTGATTCTCCATGAAGCCGGTGACGATGAAGTCGCTCGCGTTCAAATCATCGTGTTTTACTGCTACAGTATTCACTGCAACCAATTTTTTGCCGACATCTATTTCCAATTCTAGAGCCGTCTAAGGAAAAGGAAAAATATTTATAAATATATTAATCATATCCAACTAATTATTCCGATCATAGGACCGAATTAATTATTATTAGACGTGAAACTACTGATAAATAATCCATTAATCTTGATACAATAAATGTGTTGTATTTTTAGTCACTTAAAAATGTTTATTGTTGCGATGTATTCTTCTATAACTGTCGAACATCTCAGACAGCATAAATGCATCTTAGGACGTTCCAAAGACGATTAAAACAAAGAGGATGATTTATAGACGTCTCTTAGATGTCTTTTAGTCATTTATGCTGTCTGGGATAAACTTACCTTGAACGCATTTAATGGACATTTCCAATCCTGATCATTCGGTGGCGACATGGCACATAGATGCACCTTGCCTCCGCGCATTTTCACGTAGTTGCAAAATCTTAGGGCATGCTCATGTTCCTCGTGATGCATCTGCATGAAGAACGACTCGCATCCCGGTAGAGCAACGTCCATGCGACCAAAATATACAGCCTAAATATGATTAAACACAGATAAAATATTTAACCACGTAATCTCTCGTAAAGAGCTCCGTGATATCTGTTACTACATGCCTAATACTTGAATAAATTATTCAATAATTAATGGGACTTGTGATACATTTGATTCAGATGCGTGCGTGCATGCGTGCGTGCGTGCGTACGTGCGCGCGCGCGTGTGTGTATGTGTGTGTGTGTGACTATACATTTACAGATAATAAAAGTATTTAGACTATATTTACCATGGACAAATAATAATAAAACGCCTTCAACTCAACATTAATCTGGTTATTCATTGCAGCTTCGGTTTCATTGTGAAAATCAAATCCGCTTCTCTCGCCACTCGGCCATTTCATCGGTTTATCGATACACTGTTCCACTTGATTGCATTGTTTATTCTTTGACGTCTTCCATGCGGAGTCAGATATTCCTCGCCAACTAATAATATTACAAAGAATCAATTAAGATGAATCTAATGAAAAAGATGGTGAATAGAAATTAAACAATATATGTCCATAACTTATAGAAATTTAACAATATATGTCCATAACTTAAAATCAGATTGAGAAACTAAGAAACTTCTGAAAAGAATATAATCTCGATATATATACATATATATAAAAGCAGAAATCTTTTTTTTATATTTATATCCCAGATAGCAAGATGGCATCAAATGACGTTTCAATGACACCTTAAAGATTTGATGTCACCTTGTCAGCTGGGATATTAATTTAAAAAAACTCAATGATGTTATTACCTGACATGATATAACCGTCGATTTCGAATAGGATATATATTATTGAAAGGTTTACAAAATTTATAATATCTACACAATAATTGCAACATTTTGCAATGGCATAATTTATCAATTACTCTCCGCTTCTTTTGTAAGCAAGCCGATTAACATAATCCGTCTACAAATAAACCACAATTTTGTTCGTGCTGTCGTCACTAATTAACAAATTACCAATTAAACGAATCAATTTAAAAACATAAAATTTTAACTATTCAGGAAATTATTTCACAAAGGATTTAGTAAAAATATATATTTTTGCTTCAGTTTAACTGGTTTTAATATAGTTTTCGCATTTGTTTGTTTGTTTATGGTTAACATATATTGTAAAGAGCTAACATTAGCTTCAAGTAAATGCAAATCGATCCATATATGGTGTTCAACAATTCAATGTAACAAAAGAACTGTTTTCACATAAAAAATTAAAAAATTTGTAATTAAACCCTTATAATTGTCAATTTGTCTGTTTTCAATATAATATATTGTTGAAACTAGTTATATTTTCAATAAAACTTAACAATACTGATACAATACTGTAAAATAACTATAAGCTATTTATCCGTTTATTGTCTCAATCAACATTTCCTTAAAACAAAAACATAGTAGCTATTATCCAATATCTTTCAAAATTAATGACATACTTAAATATTACAGACTATATATCTTAGCAAAAATTTCCTACAAGATAATTATAACAAATCATAAATATGTCATTGATTTATTGAGTTAGGGGAAGGATCTGATAGTTGATGTGTGCTATTTGAAGGCACTGTGTTGATAGAGCTTAGAGGCTCTTGCTTAATATTAGGAATGGTATTTAGATTCATGTTGATCACAGTTGTGGATGAGGGATTCTGCATGTCCAATTGGCTCTGAGCTATGTCCTGCAGAGCAGCTTGAATTCGCTGAAGCAACGCTTCTCCTTGCCTCACTATCTCTTCAAGTTGCTCACCAGCTTCTTGATTCTCCTGCTCGAGCCGAGTCAGACTGGCTATTTGAAGTTCTTGAGATGACTCTTCGCTTGGAAGACTCTCTATCAATGTATCTATGTCCTTTGCACACCTAGCAATGAGAGTCGCGAATAAAGCAGCATAATCTAAAACAAACAAGTTGCAATTTATAATTATATGTACTTGACAATAACATAGATCTTGTGATCAACGTATAATACCTTCTTGAGTCTGATGCGGCTGCGGTGTACCGATGCGATCAAAGCCAGGGAATTTACTGGGTGTGGAATACTGCTGTAGAATACCGACACTATTGCAAAAGTGTTCCGCTTGCTGAAAACATAAATACATGCTCGATAGAGATAATATATTAATGGATAAGAGATATAAATAAAAATATGTATCACCTGGTTTATAGTATCTTGTAATTGTGTCAAACGGTCTGCCATGACGCCAAGTTATTGACTCAAAATTGATTTATATAACCCTTCGTAATACTGACAACAACCATTAAATTAAACAGAACATTCACTGTTAACACATTAAGGGCGGGAGTCGTAGTACTACGATTTAGCTCGACTGCGGCTTAAAGGCGGGAGTCGTAGTAAAACAATTTAGCTCGACTGTACCTTAAAGTTTTTATGATCACACAAAATATCGCCCGCCGTTAATGTGTTAATATATTAAGAACTTCGGTATTTCTTCGGCAGAAATTCAACACGGTTTATCAAGAAAAATTCACCTCTTTTCTAGTCGATAATCTTTAACTTGCCTTGTTGAAATACAACAAGCATCAAGAGAATTGGTTCCAGGCAAGTGTCAAATAACCCATTCCCTATAGCTGCATTGCTGAACTGATGCATTAAATTGAAGTGAGAAAACATTTACTTATCTCGCTTCAACTTATTTCACTAGTTCAACAGTACAGCTATAAAGAACAGACCAAGAGATCGCACCTTTAAACCCAATGCACAATGAAAATCACTAGCAACAGGAATAGAGATAACACAGGCAACAGATTCTCAACCTACCGGATGTTTCAATTGCTGTGCATTGGTGCATTTTTAAAAATGAGAATACAGTACGATGATATGGGAATTTAAATTCTCACCTTGTAAGTCCGGACCTGCAATGGGTATAGTAAACCTTAAGCTGTAAGAAATTGACCAATCACGATCGATTATTCTTCTCACATACGATTGTGATTGATCAATTTCTTACTGCTTAAAGCTTACTATACTTAAGCCAGCAGCCACGATGCTTGTTTTCGTGCTGGATTGCTTGCTGGATAGAAATACTGCGTTTTGTATGGTGTATTGTCATCCATTTGAAAATGTACCAATCAGAACGCAGTATTTCTATTTAGCAAGTAATCCAGCACGAAAACAAGTATCGTGTGTTTCTAGCACTGAAAGCTGTGTCCAATGTTTACAAGGACGAGTTTATACCCTGTTTAGGCCAATATTCATAGTCAGATCTTATATTTAAGACTGTCTTAATTTTATTTTCAGATGCTCTACGGTTCATTTCAATGGCATCTGAAAATAAACTTAAAACGGTCTTAGATACGAAATCCGATTATGAATACCGGCTTTAGTAAACGTTTGGTTGAGATCGGTTGAGTCTGTGTATAGTTATCGGATTGTGAAGATGGAAGATTACTTGAAATCAAAATTAAAAGAGAAAGAGGAGATGGATGAAAGAAAGGATCTTCATCATCTTCGGCACGTGATGTATTACTACTACAAGAAAGGGAAAGACGTTGGACACACAACAAACAAGTTCAATTTGTAAAGTGTACGGAGCAATGCCATTACTGTACCAACCGTTCGAAAGTGGTCCGCAAAATTTAAATCGGGTAATTTTACCCTTGAAAACCCGAAGCGCTCTAGAAAGCTTTAGGCCGTGAATAATGACCAAACTAATGAAAAATAATCCACGATACACGACTGGGGAGATAGCAAAGAATCATAAAAGTTGCAACAAGTATCACTCATAAACATTTGGTGAAACTTGGAAACGTTTCTCGCCGATGACGTTTGAGTTCCACACAATTTGTCTGGAACAAATTTACAAGCCGGACCGATTTGCGAATCACCTGCGATATACTGTTCAAATGCAACGAAGTTGATCCATTTTTTAAACGTTTTATAACGAATAACAATTACGATTGTTTATAACATTGTGTAAAAACGTTCTTCGAGAATAAAATCCTAAGGTTGCCTAAAAGATGGATTAAAATAATACGACGAAATGATAGATACTGTGTTGAGTAAAATTTTCATTTAGTATTCAAAAATTGCGTTTCATTTCGACCCAAGAAACTCTTACTTCCCAGACAACCCAATAGATAACATTATTTAACATTCGATGTCTAATAGCTATTAAATGTAGAGGTACAACCGAGAGTAAAATAATTAACGAACAACACTGGTGCTTTACTTGTCTATCTTCAACTTCTCTTCATCAGAGTGAAATCGCTGGATCCAAGGAATCGCGCCAAATAACGTAAGAACGCATCTTAACATAATTTAGCATTTTTCCATTGCATTTTTATAAAATGTTTACATGGGGAAATATATTTACAAAAATATGAGTAGGGCGCGATGAAGTGTAGAAGACAGAAAAACAGATGAACAATGTAGTTTTGTGAACAATTCAGTTGAGGGTACCCCGGCATTGTGGAGCTCCGCAAAGGCAAGGGATCTTGTCATCCTCCAATGGGAACTTGTAGTCGTAAGTAATTTCTTCGTTAACCCCTATTGGTTGTTTACTGTAGATTACAATCTTCTTCTGGCTTTCGATCGTGATTACTTTTGCATAACAATTTGGCTGAAAGAAACAGAAAACCGGTAATTACAAGAAGTACGTTCGTTTCGCCTATTATTCTGCTCTGATGATTCACTAGCATCAGACAGGATTAATTGGATACATGAATCAGATCTTTAGCGATTTGTCAAACCGAATTTTAATACATAGGCAGGTAAGATCTCTGATTCTATTACCGCTCTCATCGCATCACCTTATCGCCTTATGAAAGAAAAGAACGACGATTCTAAGTAACTCACATTGCAACTGTGATTTATGAATCGCGCCAAATTGCCGCACTTGGTCGCATCGATAATCGTGTCTAAGTCGATACGGAAGAGGTAAGAGCTACCGATTCCGGTAGCCTCATATTGGGATTCTCGTAGATCGGCCACGACTGGTCTGACCATTTGACCGACATATTCTATGACCATCTCGTCCGCTGCGATCGGTTCCATGGCGAACAAGCCCCAATCATGAATACCAGACTTGGCGAATTTCAGCTGTTTCTTGCGGAACTGAAATAGAAGGCGTTTAAATATCAGAACACGCGAATATCAGGAGAGAGAGAGAGAGAGAGAGAGAGAGAGAGGGGGGGGGGGGNTCTACGGATCCACAGATTGTGCCTTATGGTCTCGTACCTTCAATTGATTAAATTTAAGGAGATCACTATCCGTATCAATTCCGAAAGCCGTCAACAAACGACGCTGATTGCTTCGTGCCTCACGAGACAAGGCCTGCATCTTGCCTGTCAATGCTTTAGAATTACCCTTTGGACCGTTCATTACGCCATCCCCTCCAGTGTAAGAACCTCCACTGTCCTCCACGTCGTTACTGCGTTGTATACTTTGAGCATAATGGTGCTGCAACAGCGATAGTAACTGATTACTCACGAGATTCCAGCAAAAAATAATAAAAAAACAATTATGAAGATTATGATATAACGACAAACACCACTCCTAAGTCACGTCAACGTCGATAATCGAAATGCAACAAATATATTTGATTACTTTGTGTTTCGCCTTCTCTCTGATGTCGACCTTGTAGTAACCCTCGGTTCTAGCGCTTCCGCTCGCGTGCAACCGCAATTCGTCTCGTTTTCTTCTTTTTGCGGGGCTCGGCACGTCGGTCGGTGGATGATCAACCCAATGCGTGTCGTTCAGCCAATAACCTTGGCTGTCATCCGCCAACAAAGCTTCGTAACTTCTCCTCAAGTACTCCACGTCCTCCATGTCTATTCCTCTGGTCAGGAATTCGTACAAAACAGCCATTTCCGACATGAGATCTCGCTCCTTGTACGTGACCAACGACTGCGGGACTTGTTTGGGCAGCTTTTCATACAAATAATCATTCTGGATGTTCTCCTTCTCACCTTCGTGATTCTGATGACTGTTACTATGCAGTTTAGTGTACTTGTTGGATTTTCGTTTCTCCACCTTATGTACTTTTTCTTTCTCCTTCTCCTTTTCCTTGTCTTTCTCCTTGTCCTTATCCTTCTCCTTGGTTTTCGTTAATTTCACGATCTTTGTATGTTTCACCTTCACCGAAGCCGCTGGTACACGTATCACCGGTTCTAAGCGCTCCGGAAGCGCAGGTGGCAACGAATACGAATGTTCCATGTATACCTGCGACGCCTGAGAGCCAGGAGAACTTGGTGTTCGTTGTCCGTTCAACCGAAGATCCGTTTCCGCTTGGTACCTGCAGAGAATTATCGCAGAAATATTTATTTTGGCTAGGTTTGTAAATATAACTCTCTGCATAAAGAACTCTCTGCAAAGAAGTTTGTAAATATAACTTCCTGCATACGGGGCAATGAGCACCTAAAGAATATTCCAAGTTCTTTTCTTCGAAAACGAAGCCCGGTATAAACAAATGTTACTCTATATTTTCAACTTGTTCTTTCATGTAGACCAACTTTTCGGTCATAACATTAATTATACGAGACGCGTTATTAAAATATATTACTAAAATTATTAACCTCAATCTCCTAATTTCTAAACTCTCCTCCTCCGAATCGGTCGTAGGTATTTCACTGAACATCTCAATCTTCTCGGACTCCTTTAGGATCGGCTCGTCGTCGATATATTTCGCCGACATCGTCTGCAGCGCTCTGATGATGTTAGGCTGTATAGGTCCTGGACTACCGTGGCGTATGATGTTGTCCCGTCCTGCCAGAGTCATCAGGGCCTCCGCGGCAAAGTTCTCCATATTTTGCATATCCGCTTGAGCTTCATCCTTGACAGGACTTATCGTCGGTGCGGGCTTCATTTCTCTCTGAGGCTCGCTCTCCTTGACGAATCTCGCAACGTTCTTCGTTTCCTTGTCCAGAATCCTGCACACCTCGAACGGCTTCTCTTCTGCGATGGAGGACTTCTCGGAGATCACTTCCTCCTCCTTGACCTTGTCGTATATCACGGGAGAAGGCAACGGAGTACTACTGTCGTCGTTCTCGATCTGAGGGAACTCGGTCGAATTTTTATCCTTGATCTTAACATCCGGCACCGGTGTTTCCCTGCCGGTCGGCGTGGGACAGTCTAACGACCTCTGGATCGCCAGTTCCGTCAGTATATCAGGATCCTCGCTGTTGCAAGCCAAGGGCCTGTGGTCGGACATGCGGCTATCTGTGTCTTGCTAAAAACAAATGTATCTCATTGTACGAAGTATCGTCCTCCGGCATCTTCTCACTCGACTTTTAGGGCTCTTAAGTATTCGGATAAATGATTATCTGAAGGTATCCGAGGTTAGATCCGAAACTTTAAATCGTATTATTCAGGTTATCCGCGAAATATCTTAAACATTTGACAACAAATAAATCGATATCTTTCATCTACTATTTCACGACCTCAGTCTGAGACAATTGCCGGGAGTTCATATCGATTTATTTGTTGTAAAGTGCTCGAGAGAAGTCTGGGTTGCTACAATTTCGACTGATTCCGCTGGGAATTGAGATCCGGGTCCAACCAACGCATGCGTGCATCTCAAAAATCCGCGAACAATCCGAATTTGAAGCTATATTTATCTGTTACCTGGGTAATCAAGTATTCGGATAGTGTCGGAACCGAACATTGAAGTCCTACGAGCCTCTTACGTACCTCGTCCTCGAAATTTCCAGAAATTGCCTCCTCCTCGTCGGAACTCTCGCTCGAACTACTGGACGATTCGCTGAAACTAACTTCGTCGCTACTGCTCTCCACGGAGGACGATGACGAGGACGACGAGGAAGAGACGCCCGCAGCCATCGTTCTCTTCGCTTTTTGCACCGACGGCGTGTCCATGTCGCTGTCACTTTCGATCGTTTCCATATCACCGTGAACCGATTGCCGACTGTCCTCATCCTCCTGCGGTAGCGGGCTCGGAGCTTTGATCTTGCGCTGTACCAAAAGATAATCATAACGATAATCACGAGTTTTACGCGAATTATCGGATCGTTCCCAACGTTCGGTTCAATTTCCGAATAAAATTTGACTTTACCGCGTTCAATTATTCATCAACTAAATAATTACCATAAAAGTGACATTATTACGATACGTAACATAAGTTTTATCAGTGACATTATCGAGCTATATATAGGTTGTCTGACAAAAGTCGTATCATCCGTCACATACCTGTAGGTTAGGTTAATGCGAAAAAAAAACCCTCTACCATTTTGCAAACAATTATACAAAATTTCGAGTTATCAATTATCGAGATGGCCATGTACAGGGGCTTTAGTTGATAACTCGAAAATTTGCGTGTTATTTGCAAAATGACGCAGGAATTTTTTTCCTCACATTAACCTAAACTACAAGTATATGACGGATGGTACGACTTTCTGTCATACATCCTACATATGTAAAATCGAATCGAACTCTTTGCACCAACCCGACATCATCAAAGACGAGGAAATGCGAAATCAAATACAATATTCGAGGCCTTACCCTGAATGAAGGCATCTTTGGCATACTAGCTCTAATACCCAAGCCAAATCCATCGTAATTGAGCCCTAACGGAGTCGCTTGCTCCAGTAACGACGATAGTCCTTGAGGTTTCGTTACATCCTCCTTAGTCGTGTTGTTCACAACAACATTATTCTCGCCACTACCCTGAGCCTGACTTTTCTCCGACTTCTTCTCGTCCCACCAAACCTCGAATAATTTGAACGCGGTGTTCTCGATCATCTTCTTATTAAAATCCCTCTTCAGTATCTGTTTCAGTTCGTTCATGACTGTGCTCAAGACTCCGTTGATGGTGGGGCCCTGTGAATGAAAGCACCATAATTATACAATAACCATCATCGATGAAACGAGACTGCACAGCGCAAAACATACAAGCTCTCTTGCATATTTTAACAGAGGTGTCGTTCTTGAAAATAAGAAAAACACACAGAGCTCGGAATCGTGCGTCAGGATAGTCTTGCCTGTGGGTCCTTGGTAATGTTATAATTCGCCATGGCGTGCAGCCGCGACTGGAAAGAGGAATAATAACTCGCCCCCTGGTTCCCAACTGTCGTCGAGAAGGACGCCGTGGTGGGTTGATAATGGCTTTGCAGGTAAGTCGTTCCGTACGGGTAGGGATACTGCCGGGGCCAATTGTAAACATCATTCGAGGGGTAATGCGTTAAGTGTCCTGAGTAAGCTGCCGGGTACAGTTGACTCGTGGGTTCGGTTTGTGCTATCACCTGTTGGAGAGAAATGCTTGTGTCGAATCAAACGGGAGCACGTGGAGCGTGCGAGTCATCACGAGGATGTAACTTTTGCTTCGCACTTCGTGTAACGAAACGAACTCACTTCCTCGATCTTTTCATCGCCCGAGCTTAGAGGACTCAGCGACATCCTGTCGTCGTCGGGCGGTGGAGGCGGTGGCGGTTCCTTGGGTGGCTCTGGTTCATTCTCGTCGACCGCTGGACTGTAACTCCCCAACAAAGCCTCGTCCTCGCTGGAACTTATGACACTACCCAGGTCCTCGTCTACAGAAAACTGACTAATGCTATTCTCGTGAACTTTCCTCCGCTCCTTGTTCCTCTCTACCATCTTGTCGAAGTAGGACTTGTAAATTTCGCGCGACAGAAAGGGGCTGGGAGTATCCGAGAGTATCTCACTGTCACCACATTGCGACTTCTTGTCGTCTTCCGAGTCGCTGCCGAATTGTAAAAAAGGTGGTGCCATCCCGCCGGCCTTGTCCTTCAGTAACATGGCAATCCTCGTGTCTAAATCCAACGTCTTGCGGCTCTCCTCGGGAGAGTCGCGCGACGAGCTCTTGGGCGTAACTTGATTCTCCTTCTCCTTCTTCGGAGTATGGTGTGCAGCCTTGGCACCGGAGGCCTTATTACCAGCCGGTGTTACGTTAGAATTAGCGTCGTCCAAGTTTGTCGCGTGTGGTTGGACGGACCAGACGGAAGCCGACGACGGATAGCCCGCGGATCCGGAATTGTTGCCCCACCATACATTCGAGTTCTGCTGCATCGATAAGTTCTGTGACACGTTCTGTGACATGCTGGCTAAGTAGCTGTTCGGCGGTTGATGGTGATAACTGCCATAGTAAAAGTCATAATTCGTAGCCGGGGTGGAATTCTGAGAATAATTATTCGAATAATTCAGTTCACTGGGTGCCGTCCCGTAGCCCAAATCACTGCCCGTGCTGCCGCTCGGCGTCGGATAGTCCCTGTATTTGTTGTACCTCGAATTCTCTACGTATGGCTCTCTGCTCTTCTCTAAACTTAGAATAGACTTTTTACTACTTCTAAAATCGTCCCTCTCCTCAGGCAAGACCTTCTCCACGGGAGTCTGGTGTTTCTCCTGCTCGGACTCGGGTTTCACCACCGTCGCCACTGGCGCCTCTTTCTCTGGCTTCTTCTCCGGCTTCTTCTCCATCGTCAATTCATCGAACATCTTTTTGCACTCCTCTCCGAAGGGATCGAGAAAGACCCTCAGCACTTTCCCCATCACAGATGTGTTATTCAATTTCTCTACACACGCCTTCGACGCCTTGGTCGATTCGAACACTACTCTCGCTATACCAAGGTGTTTATTGGTTATCGGGTGATAATAAATAGTAAGCTCTTCTACGGCTCCAAATTTCTGGACCATGTTTGTCAAGAATGTCTTGTCAATATTGTCGTTTAAATGGCAAAACGTTACTTCAATCGGGGGAGGTTCTCCGCAGTAATTGGAATCGATTTTAAATCTAGGTACAGGTAGGTCGAGTTGCTCCAACCGGGTCCAGATCCTCGTCAACTGCGACCTAGGATCTCGAGGTTGGACCAGCGGATACGTCGGGTCGCCGGGTATCGTTCCATCGTATCTACATAATTTTGCAGCCCCCTTAACTAAAAACGGGTCGACCAGTAGCTTGTAATTTCTCTGCTTCTGAGTCACTTGTGGCACGGCTGTATCCTTCTGCGAATGCGTCACGTGACCATGGCTATGCTTCGAGGGTAGTTGGCTTGAGTTCTGCGCCGAGCTCTGAGAATTGCCATGAGAGTGGCGATGACGGTGTGAGTGCGCGTGTGAATGTCCATGCCCGTGACCATGCTTCTCCATGCCGTTCATTGCCTCCAAGCATCATCCATTCGTGTGAATTTCTGTCACAAACATTTAACCAGACCTTTAACTCGGATATCAGTTACAGTTACAGCGGATACAAAGTTGCTTTGCGCGATGTTTATTAAACTTTACTCACATCCTCTCCGGATAAACAATAAACAACGTTTGTCAACACAAATACGAACCATGTACGTCGTCACAAACTAAACCGCAAATCAACGTGACATAATTGCCGCACATCACACTGTTTCTCACTAAAGAATAATTGACTTTAATTATAAAAATAGCGGATTCGTTGTTGTTGTTGTTAGAGTTAGTCAGCGTTCGGCGATCCTCGTTATATCAACGACACGTCGTGATTAAATATGAGCGGAGCGTGGGGCGCGTTTCGATAACCACAAAAATCCATCATGCTATTATGCGCGTGGACTAGTGTTCACGAGGTGCTCTCTACGAGGACGCCTCTTTCTCACTGCACGACCGCCCCGAGAACAGATAACAATCGCGCCTGCAAAACCCGTCGCTGACCCGATAATGCATCCTCGACGGGCGAGGGAAAATGCGATGCACAGTCCTCACGCTAGCGGATCGATACGATCGCCGCACAACAGCCTTATCGATACGGCATCCTCAATCGTATACGAGAAACTCGTCCGCAGACTTACGGTCCAATCTTCTTCGGCTCGACTTCGTTCGAACTACGTCGCTCGGTCGCGAAGGCAGAGAATGTCGTCCTCCCTCAACAACACATAACCTCAAAAGCACTTTGCGATTTCTTTTAGGTTGGTTTGCCCTCGCGAGGATGACCCATAAAAAACATCCCCCGCTGTCGGCTCCTCCATCCGTCCGTCGAGTGCGCCGTCGATGCTTCCTCGATCGCGAGCTCGCTCGAACTCGCGACTCTTGATCGCGCTCTCCTTATTTCTTTCTACCACCGTCAGCCTCGCTCTCTCTTTCTCTCTTTCTCTCTCTGTCTCTCTTTTTCCCTCTCTCGCACGCGATCACACCGTCTCTTTCCCTCTCTTAGTCTCGCTCCCTCTTTCTTGCTCTCCTACAACCTTAAACCCTTATTCAGTTACGCTGCGATTTTTTTTTTCCCAGCCCAAGTGACTCTCTTTTGCAACGTCCAGCGATAGTGCACACAGCGCGACGGCGAGCCGCACGAGTCGAGCGTCTGCGAGCGATTGCGAGCTATCGAACTACTGATCGTTCTCTCTCTCTCTCTCTCTCTCTTTCTCTCTCGAGCGTTCCTGTTCCGATGACGTTTGCTTCTCTCTGTCTGTCGACGGCACGCGCACCTTTGACGAAAAAGCGAAAAGGACGAATCTCTCTCTCTCTCTCTCTCTCTTGCAATGTATACATACGCCTTCGAGAATGCCCGAGTTCGTGTTCCTCCACGCGGACGCACTTCGTACAGCCCTCTTGGCGTGTACCATGAACTCCCACGGCTTCTCTCCCGCCTACCTTCCACGGTTATCTCCCCTTCGAAGAAGAGACGAGACGAGTTCCGATTTCTCTCAGCATCATAAAAATGTGATTTTTTTTCTCTCTTTCTCTCGCGTCTCTAATACGTCCAGCTCTGGCGTTCTTCGACGCCCACGTTGTCTCGTGCGACGCACAACACGCGGTGCACGTTGCGTGCGTCTCGTGTCTTTGTCTATCGCGTGGAGCTACACTTTACGGGTGATGACATCGCAATACCGATCGATCGCTGCGGAGGAATCGTCACGGCCGATCGCGCGCCCGTGAAATTTCCCCGCCGCACCAACTCATTGGCCGATCTCATTATCATTCGATGGTTGTTGGTTATCGAGCCGTCTTCGCTTCTCTCTTTCTCTCTCTCTCGCCCTCTCTCCCTCCCTTTCACTTTCATCGTAAATTCTCGAGAAGCAATAACCAACGATCTGACCATCATCCGGATTTCGCGGCCGACTGTTCAATGCAACACCCAGAGATGAGGCACTCTTCCCTCGATCTCGCGTCATCAAGAAAGAACGAACAAGCGAGCGACGAGCGGCCTTGTCCTCGCGCGCCTCGAGAGAATACCTGACAGGATGGCGTGACACCGCTGGCATTGTAGCTGCGGCACATCACGCCGATGCGTGTGTCCTGCATGGGCAATTAAAATCGGACGACGTAATGCGTAATTGCTGAAATATATGTGTGCGACTCGTGATAGTCGGACGATCGACGACGACATCGCGGCGCGTCGCGATTGGCCCGGGCCGGATCTAGAAAGCGACGGCTCGACGAATCACGATCGAGCGGAAAAATTTCGCGCGCCAAAGTATTGCGCCATTAGGGTCATGGTACAAAGGAAAACAGCAGTAAGCAGGTAAATAAGTTGGTTAATCACAGTTGATTATTCTCTTCATGGTCGAAGAACAGTCGACTGTGACTGGTTTTCTTACTATTCGCGTTTTTTTACGTGCCATCCATTTCACGGCAAATAAGGGCTATTGCACACACAAAACCCTTGTCTGAAACCTTGCTTTAAGTGTGAGCAAATTGACCAACCATGATCGATTATTCTTCTATTAAACGACTATAATTAGTCAATTTGCTTATTGTTTATGTCTTAAAATAAGGTTGTAGACAAGGGCAAAATGTAAGCAGTAAAACTTAAACAGTAAGAAAATTGACCAATCGCAGTAGATTACTCTTCTTATGGTCAAAGAATAATCAACAGTGATTGGTTAATTTGATCATTTCTTAGGTCGAGTTTAGTGAACTTTCTTCTGATTCGTCGAATATCAATCCAATTACAATCCTAATTCGTAGTGTGACACAAACTTTTTAGAGTGGTTGGTTTTCTATTTTCATACATTATGCACACATGAAAGTATAAAATCGACATCTTCGCTATATTTCTACATTTTTATCTTAAATTTGATTCGTACGATTAATTATGCAAATTTTATATACGTATCTTGGCCACACAATCAATCTTTCGTTTCATTTTCGAACGTACCCAGCCGCATCGGCGCACTTCGTAGCGCTCGATCGGCTATTCTCTCATCCATTCGTGGTTATCTTGAGGAGTTTTTGTCAAACGGTAGTTCAGTGCTGGTTGATCTTTGAAGGAGATATTCTCACTGAAAACATGTCGTTCATACAGGATTTTTTCAAACGTCAGGTACCGGTAGTTAAAGCCGAAGAGGAAGAAGAGCCAGAATTGGTGGATCCACAGAAAGTGCTTCGTGTGAGTAATAACCATTACATAATGTTGTCTAGAGAGACGTGACATGACAAAGTTGATTTTACGTAAAGTTAACTTAAAAATGACAGTTCTGGCAAGTTAGATATCTTACAAATATTTTGATCTTGTCTTTTCCTTCGATATACGTATGTATCTCTTCTTGATAAAATGTATAATTTAGACCAAGGTAAGTTAAAAAATGTTCAAATTATAGAATGACAATTTGATCGCAACAACTTTTTTTCTCAATTCGCAGGAGGAGTGCGCTAAACTAGCAAAATGCGTCAGCTTTCAAGAGAAACTGAACACATGTAATGACCGTGTGAATTCCCGATCCAACACAGAGGAAATTTGCCTAGAGGAGCTTATCGATTATGTGGAATGTGTAGATCACTGTGTTGCAAAAACTCTGCTCAGCAAACTCAAGTAATTTCCTGCGATACTCCCAGGGAGGAGTCAACTGTTGTCCACAATGTTATAGCCTAATCTCTCCCAATCATTGTATATATACATATATCCAATATTAGAAATAAAAGATAAACCCACAGATCAGAGGTTACAAATCAATTCGCTTAATCTCTCCATCTGTATTTCAATTCTACAGGCTAGACTTAATAAATCTTAACATGAACAATGATGTATACAATACATAAAATATCAATGACATAGAATTACACACAGACTTCTGATTTCAGTGAACTTCTCTTTCTTCTCATGTAAAAAAACAGTGGAATGACAGCCCTCCATCGGTTTTCGTAGAAACTCTTATTTTAATTACGAAAATTTTCTTTTGTAAAGTTCTCAGTGCCCTGTAACACGTCAAAGCATACGTCGCACACACGTACCGGCTTGTTCAGATTGAATTTTATGATCGGTACATCCTGACCGGAACATTTGCTGCACAAAATCCGTCCACAGTGTCGACTGAAAGCAAGAAATGACAGAGATTAGAGAAAATTAATTGGTTATTCATTCGCTGTTCACCAGGAAAGAGAACAGTTTACGGTACCAATGATGCTTGCGCATCGTGAGGGAGAATTTTGTTCCACATTCCAAGCAGCAGTCCTTGTCGGACCATGGTGCTTCTTGTGTCAGAGAATCTAACAGTCTGTACAGTAGCTGCTTCGTCGCTACTTGATAATTAAAAATAGTAATCCCATCTTTGTTCATCGAACCTAAGCACGCGCCCGCTCGTACCAACGTTCGGCAAAGGTTGCCATTGCCTTTCATATATGCGATTAGCAATGGCGTGTTTCCGTCCAAATCTGAAATAAAAGAAATAGAGTGTATAGGTGATACATACATACAATGAGAATTTAAGAATTTAAAACTTGGGCTTTCCAAACCTTGATCGTTAAAAGATTAACCAACCACAGAGAATAATCGATCTATTTCTTACGGCTTAAGTTTTTAAATTCTCGTTGTAGACATCACTTTAAGTAACAATCTCCGTAATTTAAGCCATCACCATCGTATTTTGCCTTCGCACCTGCGTTGTTGACTGGATATTTCGCCATGCATTCCAGAAACAGGTCGCAGATCGTCGCGGCGTTGTCCCTACCGCATCTGGCTAACTCGTGCAGCGGATTGCGACCTTTCAGGTTCACAGCTTCCGCGTCCAGCTCGCTCTCGGTCAATAACGTTCGCACCACCGACACATGGCCTTCCCTCACTGCTACGTGCAAAGCGTTGTCGCCATCCGCGTTCACCGCGTCGAAGTTGATATTGTTCTACGCGAGACAATTGATTATTTTATCCGACTTATTATTCAGTTTCGCAGTATATTTGCAGCGGACTGATATGCTTGTTTCTGTCGCTCACTTGCAGTAACGCGCAGACAACAGCCGAGTGGCCCGCTTTAGCCGCCACGTGCAGCGCGGTGTTCCTGTTCGCGTCCGTATCGTTGACACGAGCGCCCGCCAGGATCAAACTTCGCACCAGCAACTCGTTTCCAGACACGGCGGCCAGGTGCAGAGGTGGCGTCTGCGTAACGTCGTGTATTCTCGAATTCACATCTACCTATAAAAAAGATGAAAAGGATATAATAGCTGAGAGTTCAGCAGAGAAAGAAGCACGATAAACACTTAGATCCAGATTCTGAACTAATTTTTAAATAAAACCGATAAAAGTGCCTTAAATGTGGCTTCTAAGTTACTTTTAAAGATACTTTCATCAATAAAAATGAGTTCAGAATATGAATCTTAGTGATTACGTCTGTCTATGACTGGCATATTTCTTTAGGTCCATATTCTGAACTTATCTTTATCGAGATAAAAGCTTCTGAAAATTGTTTAACAACTATTTGATTGGCTGGGAAGCCACATTTAAGGCACTTTTATCGATAAAAGTAAGTTCAGAATATGGACCTTAGTTTCTTAATATATCTAGGAGAATGTACCATGAGCAATATTCATTAAGTGCTCATTGAGTTACTTCTCCTATTGAACACAGAGAGCACAGAGAACAATGGGTACATTCAATATTATAATGAACGTCCAGCAAATTCGGACTGGTGCATACTTTTAGAATCATCAAGATTTAAAAGAAAAGAAAGATAAAAGGAGAAACAAGTGCATTCGATACCATGATTGCTCACTGAGCTCTTGAGTCTGATTGATGCATATTTTCAGATATTATCTCGGGATCTAAAAGTATAAGGCAACCAGATCCGAAAGCTTATCGAACGCTTAATAAATGGTTACGCTAATGAATCTTCTCATCATTCTGTTCTAGATACCACCGATACAATCTCGGACTTTAGTCACGTGAGTAAACTGAATCAAGTACTTGTATCGACAGTAGAAACAGGATGCTCTCCATGTCGCCCTTTTGAATGGCGGTGTGCAAGAAGTTCCTGCCCTTATTGTCGTACTGTTCGGCAGCCTTGGGCAACCTCTCCAGTATCGCCTGCGCGGCCTTGTTATTGCGGACCGTCAAAGCGGTCGCGAACGGCGTCAGGCCCTTCTTGTCCCGCTTATTTAGATCTATGTTCGGGTGGCACAGCAGCAGAGATATGATTTGCGAATGCTGATTCTGTATCGCCACGTGCACCGGAGTCTTTCCCTCGGCGTCGCGGGCGTTCACGTCGGCGCCGTGCTCGATGAGCGTTTGCACCACTTGCTCCAGGCCCCATTGACAACACAGGTGCAACGGCGTGCACTCGTCTCTCGCTTCGTCCCCTCCCGCACCGTTCGGGCCAGGTCGCCTCGGAGTGTTCAGGTCGCACCCGCTACGGTGTAAAAATCGTTCGATACTTCAGGCTCTCGCGGTGTGGAGAAATGCTAGATTTTTGGCCTTTGCTCGATTGTTTTGGATTTGTCGGCGAAACCGATGAAAATAGATTCAAGGAATTTGACAAGAAATTTTGTTGAGAGAAAACAATGTATTTGCGCCGGACATCTGTGGTAAAAAGGCTCGAACTGAAATTCTCGTTGCAGAGTGTATTATAAATTCTTCGGTAATACAAATGTTACTTCCGGTCTGGATCGGAAGTATGCAAAGGAGTGGCTCACCAATCGCGGGAAACTCCTCAAGGCCAGACTTCTCGGATGATTTTGGAAAGAAACATCCCGATGTGAGAACATCGAGGCTATAGTAGTTTTTAAATGTCCCACAAAAAATGCGGCTTCAATTCGGAAGAAGCCTATCGCCGTTGAAGAACGAAACGATCGTCGTTACCCGAGTAAATCCCTTTCCTCGAAATCTACACTCGTCTATCGGCATCCTTCCATCTGAAGGAAGAATACCTTCTGATCAGAAATTGTGCGATATCCTCCTTGTTGTCGTCGATCGCTTTGTGCAATAGCGTCTGTTGGCACCCGTCGGGCCCGGGTCCCCAGCAATCGGTGTCCGCTCCGTGCTTGACCAAGATCGACGCGGTGTCCTCTTGGTCGGAGTCCAAAGCGTCCCACAACGGACATCCTATCGAGGTGTCCACGCCTCGTCTGCAGAGAGCCTCCACCACTTCGCCCAGCCGACAATGTACGCACAACTGCAGGGGCGTCTCCCCGTCAGCCGTTCTACGTGCGTCGAAGGATAAATATTAATACACAGTCGTCTGATTAATACAACCGTATCAAACTACGGATTGAGAATTACAATCAGACCGATAGATAATCTAAATCTTGCTTCCGAGTTATCTGATCGGTCCCTTTGTAATCTTCAATCCGTAGTTTGATATCGGCTTAAGGCTCTAAGTAAATTAATCAATCAATTACATTTTATCGCTCAGAGCAAAAGGCTAAAGGCTCATCACGCCGTACTAAGGCTTACCTCACATTCATGTCGGCGCCGTTCTCCAAGAGGAATATGGCCGTGGCCGAGTCCTCCTTCAGTATCGCCTGATGCAACAACGTCAGGCCCCCTTCATTGCACTCGTTCACGTTAGCCCCGGCCTTGATCAGCGCTAGGACGATATCCTTGCCCTTCTTGAACGGCGCTTTTATCGCCAAACTCAGCGGCGTCTCGTTCGCGTGGTTCTTGATGATCAACTGCGAATTCGAATCTGGAGCGTGGAGCAGCTCCACGACTATGTCGGTGTACAGATTCGAGATGGCGAGGTGAATCGGCGTGTCGCCGGTGGAGAAGGTGACGTCGTCCGTCGGCAAGCCGTTCCTCAGCAGAGCTCGAGTCAGGTTCTTCAAGCCAACCTTGCACGCCTCATGCAGTATCGTGAAGCCCTCGTCGTTGGTCTTCGTGAGGCTGCTCTTGCAAAACTCCGTTAAGAACAGCGCCGCCTCTTCCCTACATTCCCGCGTCAAGATGTGGAGCAGCGTGTCGCCGTTGCTGCTGTACGTCGGATTCGTCGTGGCGTCCTTAGTTAACAGCTCCGACGCGAAGTAATCGTCGAAAGGGTCGGTCTTCATCGCGATGCACAACGGCGTGTCGTCCTCGTTCGTCGTCATGTCCAAATCCACGTTCTTCGCCTGGAGCAGCAGATTGAACAGGATCTCGTTCTTCTCCGAGATGCAGCTGTGAAGCGCCGTCCTGCGAGAATGTAAATCGCACATTTCAAGATCTCTTCGCGCAAGAATCTTACAGTCGATGATTATTACACATTTTTTAATTACTGTCTTACTAACTGCACATACCGCTGTTTCTCATTAAAAATAAAGTCGGAAAATCCTGAATTACTTTTTATACTTAATGAAGTAGTGATTATTAAATAGAGCATTAACATTTGTGCCAAAAAAAAGAGATAGCTTAGAACTTTTGAATCTGGTGTACAATATGATTACGTAATAACGTTAACGTAATTAGCGGATGTCAATTAAGAAGCACAATTGTGTGAAACGTGCAATTTCACGAGGTTAAAATTAACGAGACGAGATCATACCATCCTCTGTGATCTTGTAAATTCGGATTGATGCCTGCCTGAAGTAATCTTGATCCAACCGTCAGCATATTTTCCGTATTATGCCTCGCTACCAAGTGCAAAGCGGTGCAGCCTTCCAACTGCTTAAGATCGGCTACGTTTCTCGTGCTTTCGACAATTTTCACAGCCTCGCACAATTTGTGCACATTGCCGCTGTTCTCCAGTTGCTCGATTATGAATTCGGACGAATAAGAGTCCCCTTTTAGAATGGCTGAATGAAGCAGAGACAAACCTCTCGCATCTTTTGCACTCAAGTCTGCTCCATGTTCAACCAGGGTGCGGGCCAGAGACGGTTGGCGAGTCTTCAGAGCAACTTCCAGAGCAGTTTCACCCTTGTGATCGACGGCGTTGACTGCTTTCGGAAGCTACAGAAACAAGTGCAAAACATTAAACCTGAGAAATAGAACATATTCAGATAGATTTATCTTCTTTAATTGAGGTAATACAATTTTAAAGTGAGTATATTCGCTATAGAGAGAAAATTATGCAAAATATAGATACTAAAATAAATGAAGAATTGACTAACGTACATGGTTCTCGAAATATTTAATTAGCATATGATAATTTGACCAGTAAGAACTAGAATCGCGGATGTTGATGCGTAATTTTTAAGTCAAAAGTGAGCAAGGAGCAAAGCACGTCGAAGCAGCAAAAAAACGGTATTAATTTGTAACAATGGAATCGGGAAAATTAACGCACGGAAGACATAAATTACGTACCAAGGAAAATAACTAGCCGATTTACGATTTTCAAGGATCCTTTCTAGCGCTTGACGTGATAAATGAGAGATAAATTGTGATTTACGTGGTCTACCGTCCGGAAACAATTAGCACCCAGGTTTACCTTATCCCCATCACCACTCACCCGGCTCTAACCGTAAGATAGAATTTCCAAACGCATATACAACCCTAGTACTATTTTATGAGTTTTTTCATACATTATAATGAAAAATATCAGAATAAAAATAAAATATCTCGAAAAATATTCATTTTTCGATGACTTTACTCTAGTATTTTTATACGCAGAATAAACAAAGGAATCGAATAGTATTAGGAAAACTATATAATTCTATTTGAAAAAATAAAGTTGACCTTGAATTATCGACTAAACAACAAAGCTAAGGTCCATTACCTTACGTCCCTCTCGAAACCCTACAACTTTCGTCTGAAATATTTCTCTGTACAAGGCGTAGGAGAAAAGATATCTTGATGCGAAAGTTAAAAAGCTGGGAGACACCCGGTATATGTGAAAGAGAGAAGAGCGATTTGGGAACCGCTGCTATCGGCGGCGAATGCACGATAAAAGCCCGATGGGTGCGTGCGTACGCCTGTGTGTGCGCGCGTGCACGCGGCCGAGCCATGGAAATGGCACGGACAACGTCGACTCAGTGTGAAAAAACGTTCACGGAGGAAGTATGGAGATTATTTTCTGATATATATACACGCCGAACGGGAGAGCGTTGAGGCATCATCCAGGCAGATGACGTGGCCTACGATACACCCAACTGGGTCGGCACTCGGTTGCTGACCACCAGTCGCCCCGTGTATTGCCGCTGCGCGAAAAAAGCATCGACACATCGTAATGCGAGGCATAAGTTGTCACGATGCGTGATACATACAGCACGAGCTAACGGTGTAACACTGTGGTGGGTATATGTCAGTGTACGTTGCTCTATTTGGTAACAGGATATAACACGAGGACCGACGTACGGTCGATGTACGCTAATTAAGAAGTTAACGAGACCGGAAAATTCTGATTTAAAAACTTCGCATGGGGAAAAACTTTTAACGGCGAAATTTTTTCTTTTTTTAATGGTGATTGGACCATTAAGGGGGACCTTGAGAATGAAATCTGTCGAAAGCAAAAAAGAGGACAGTGGTTGTTACACCTGCGACTACTCGTGTCACAAAAAGCGTCAATTACGCGAAATTTTCTTCGTCGAAAGTGTCGTGAACAATTGCACAAACGAGATCCAATGGAATCTTTACAGAAATCTGGCAAAAAAAGTTAACCCTTTGCGGACGCGTGTTCTGGAGAGCAAAAGTTTACCATCTGTGTGTTGTGAAAAATAATTTTAAATCTCTCTAACGTTTTAATTATATCTCATATTAATAGAGATCGTGATCCTTCGACAAATATTTCGATATATGTCTGTTAAGGGTTAATCTGCCTAAATTTTGGGCGTACGATAAGGTTATTTTGAGGAAACATTGTGTATAATACATCTGTTGATGCTTTGAACGTATGTGAGATTCGAGAAAAAAGATGTTTGACTTTTCATTAAATGCCAATGTTGAACACTGTTTTAGATTTTGTTGCCACTGCCGAGGTCAGTTTAACCAGTAAAAACTAGTGAAAGTACCTTCTCATTGTTGATTAAAATAATTATTTTTTGATGGGCTGTAAATAGTATTATGAAAATGTACAAGTTCAGACCAAATCCATGGATTGTAATACTATATATCAGTATTCTGTCATGTATGTCTTTCCTTTATTACTTATATATATTATGGTGGAAAAGTAAGCAATATCTATGAAATTAATAATTTTGAGATTTATAGATATCTCACAGGCACAGGCAGAAGGTATTTCATGTTTCAAATGTCTCAAGTCAAGCACGAGACTAGAAGACAAAGATCGACTATGTTCTCATTTTGATGGGAGTGCCAAATTTCAGGTGTTCTGCCCAACCTCAACGTTCTGTATGAAAAGAACTATTGAGTTGAGGTCAAAAAGTAGGTAGACGATATGCACAGGAAAAACACTGCTCTTTAATAATAATATAACTCTAAAAACTTTCATCTAAGTAAAAGCATTTATCTAAAAACCTTGTTTGCAGCATCTGTAGCGACCACTGTTCTGAGAGACTGCGCACCTCAGAAATACACCTCTCATGTTTACAATGAAGATAAAAGAAAATGGGACAAAATAGAGGAGATTATAAAAACTGCTTACGACGAAGGTTGCTTTATTGGTGAACACAGAGGGTCACCAACTAATCCACCAGAGTATTGTTTCTGTAGTTTTCATTTGTGCAATTCATCCCCCATGCAAATTGGTGTGCTTGGTAAAATATATGGAATAATGTTAGTGCTATTGATTGTGGGATTACTGTAAAGTTTTTTGGCATGTGACATGCAGTATGTTACTTAAGAAAAATGTTTCATGCACGCGTCTTCCACATTGAATTTCAAAGTGCAAACAAATCTTGCATTTTTATAAAACATTGTTTGAATATTGTGTGGAACAATATAAAAAAAAAGCCACATTGCATGTGTGGTTTATTCCATACATAAATAACTAATATTCATTTTACAAAATGCATAATAGACAATATATAGCTTTACAATTTGAATCTCGTACTATTTATATTTATGATTGAAGTAATATGTGATTGTGCAATCAACATCACGCAAAGATTAAAATCTTTTGATATACCTAGTCAATTATAATAAAAAAATTGTCTAGTTAAAATAATCAATAATTTCTCCAAGTTGAAACTACAATTTTCATTAAATATATTTATAATTTTGATCAGAGAGATAACTAGAACATATTCTGCAATGATATATTCTACAAAGCACCGCAATCCGTATAAAAATATATTTATATCGTTGCATACAAGTGTGATATCTGAAAGTAGTGAAGATAAGTGAAATCATAAAAGTCTCTATGGTTATATCTTTTAGTAAATTGGAGTGGAAAAAGTTAGCCAAGGTGATGTGATATTGAAGTAAACTGCATTTTGTAACTTTCAAAAGCAAAAGATACGTCCAAGTTTTTAATGGTTTGAAGATTGCTGAAATGGTACATTTGTCTACAACTAATTGTGAGAAAAATCTACTATCTCAAATGTTCATGGAAAAAGTGTACTTTATGCATGCAAGTACTTAGCGCTAAAACTTGAGCTGTGAATATGTAAACTGTAATATTATATTTAAAATATACTTAACGGTAACAAACGAATTATAATTATAATGAATTAGAATTATAATATTAAGTCTTTGCTCACATATTGATAACAGTATACAGTATTTTCGTACTCACAATATTGTACAAATTATAAATGTATGTATATACGTGCTGTAATAATAATTACACCAATGCCTATCACGTGATACTTATTTTTTCCCCTACTATTGAGAAAACTTACCTCAGCATTATTTTCCACTAAATACAGGAACACAACGTCTTCGCGCATCAAGCGGACTGCCGCGTGTAGAGGGTATTTACTTTTAGTTTGCAGTAACTTGTACAGCAGAGAACCTGGCATCTCCTTGAAATCTTCGCCCGTCAGATCTTCCTATAGGACACATAAGCATGTTGCAAATACAATACGGAAGCATCATTGTAATCAGCGCAGCACAGATATCTTAAACTTACCCAGTGTGCTGAAATCAAAGAGCTGCAGTGTTCTTTTAATTTCATAGTGCCTAGTTCCTCAGCAGCTGCATACAATATTACGCAGTCTTTCAGCCCCACTGTCCCGATCAGATACCTCTCACACTGATCTACCAATTCTGACAACTGGAAGTTGGCTGCTGCTTTCATCAGGTTCAGGGTCAAATTTTCTTGTGACACTTTGCCTGTGTAAATCCATTTCAGCAGTACAGATGCGACAGCACTGTCTAAATTACTCCAGTCTAGGAAATAATCGCAAATTAATTAATATCTTTGCACCATATACATGAACAAAATATAAATCTGCACTACCTAAAACAGTTTTTTCAACAAGAACTGAGTCGCTGAAGAAATCGGTTCTGGCAGATAATACAAACTTGTGTGCCGGTATTTCTTGATCGATGAGTTTTATGCTTATATCACTGTAAAAAATATTTTCAGTATTAAATATATATATATATATCTGCTTTCAGAAGCTTTGACATTTGGTCTGTCTTAGTTGAACTGATTGCATTTAAGAAATTTACGTACATTGAAACATGTGACATATATATATGAGATATGTATATGAGATTCTCAAGCTTCAGTATATATATATTTCTAGAACTAGTGCAGCCAGTTCAGTTAAAAAGAACAGACCAATCAAGTCTACTATTGTTTGAAAGTCATATACAAGATTTCAGATTACACTTTATGATGCACTATTTGTTGTACTGGATATAAATACCTGTAACGATGTTGACAATACAAGGACGCTATCGTAGCCAAGAGCCTGCCGACAAATCCGTATTCCTGCTTGTCAGCAGTGGCGATAGCATATTCCTTCTGGAGTTCCACGTTCGCGTTGTATAGATTGACATATTGCTCCCGCAGCAGAGACAGATGTTGCTGCCACTTTTGGGCCTCCGTGGAATCCTCTGAAAGACCGGTTCACGTGAGATGCTCGTTTCTCTCGCGTGACGGTTCGGAGTGCTGCGTGAACTTACCCATAATCAAGAGGGAATCGTCACGTCAGGAATTTCGCAGTTCGGCGCAATATTATTGCATGATGCGTTGCGTACCGCGCATCGTACGCGACGTACTTGTTCGCGCGTAGATTCGTTCGCGAGGAAAATAAACGAGGTCGCGTGCAACCGAGTCGAGGGGGCGAGGCGGCGATCACCGGTGGGGGGCAAAATTTCGGAGGGTCGCCGAATGAACGGTAACGCGAGCCGGTGTGTGATAGAAGACTGGGAAAAATACAAAATACCACCACACTACGTGTATCACACACGTATACACCGCCCCCACACCGTCACAGCGCGGATCTGTCACGCACACACACGTGCACACAGGCGCCGCGTATCCGATAATAAGAATGATGCGATACCGAAGATAGATAGAAGGGGATCATTACGGCTATTAAAAAACGACTATTACTGCATTCCGTTCCTCTCATTGGATGAGTCTCATTTTTTAAACATCGTAAAAATGCGGAAGCGTGAATGATAAGAGGTGAGGGAGGGGGTCAGGCGAGATACAGTTGAGTGAAAAAGGACCGGGCGAAACCTGGATGAGTGCGCGTGAGGGATGAAAGATAAGAGAACCATATGATTGGCTAATGACTCGGCTTTATTTTCACGTGTGGCTAACTTCACGTCAGGCTGCGTTCCACAAGCCTACGCGACGGGTGGAGTAGCATTTAATTGACCAATTAGGATAAAAAGAGGAAAGATCTCTTTATCATAATTGGTTTATTAATGCTACTATTACCTGTCGAGTAGGATTTTGGAATGCAGTTTTGATATCAGTTAATCAGATCTTTGCTCTTATCTCTTCCCTAAAAGAGAAGATTTTAGTTTTTTAGCATCCTGCAAACGATTCCATTGATTACGAATGTCACAATTATGACATGATTCTCGTCGTGCTTTGGATATAAAATATAAAACAAAACTATAATTCTTTTCACAGAGCCCTCCAGTAGAAATTGCCGTAATCGTAAATATAAGATGTAAATCATAAGTCCTTGCCTTTACTGTGAACTCGTGAAAAATGGACATTATAAAATGCTTTCGGTTAAAAGATTTTTACTTTTGGTGAATTTTGTGTCAGAAGGAAAGAGTCATAAGTTTTTGTGTATTCTAGAAAAAAATTAATATCCGACAAATTTAGCCGTAAGAAGACATTAGATTTAGTTATTTGATTGGCATTCTAATTACTTTTTCTTACGATAAAATTTACCGTAATTTTTAACTTTTTCTGCAGTATTCACTAACCTAAAACTACATCCTGATTAGTTCTTTAGTTTAAGTTTACTCTCACATTTCTTAGTTTTTTTCATTATGATTGATTTGGTCAAGTGCCAGTCTACTTTCAGCGTGGTGTTTTCCGAACTCAGCCCTTTTCTGCGGCCCCTCTAGGCACTTGCGATTCCTAGTGAATATTTTTTTTATCGATGTCATCACGTTGGTGCTTCTGTACGAAAACAGAAATTCTCGTGCAAGTTCAGCGCGAATGACTGCGAGAGTAGCCCCTTACCTCTCTTCAGCAATGAAGAGTTTGTGAATTTTGTCTCGTCGTAATATTGGAATTTTTTTTATTAGAATAATCATGATGTCCAAAGCTGCAGTGGGCCTTGCCGTCGGCATTGCTGGAATTTTCGTGGGTTACTGCTTTTATTTCGATCAAAAGCGCCGCAGCGATCCTGATTTCAAAAAGAAACTTCGGGAACGTAAGTTAGCCGATCTTTCTCTCCTTTTCTGTCGTGTTCACGTGTCTTTTTGATACTTAAAATGATTAGGAAATTTCTATTTTCACTCGATTTCCTCGTTGTTACAGGTAGACGAGCCAAAAAACAAGCACAACAAAAAGCTTCCTCAAAGATTTTAGATTTAAGAGATCATGAAGTTGTGCAGAAATTCTTCTTGCAAGAGGTAAATTTATTGCTAATAAGGATGTATATATACGGATATATGTATATAAAATTGTAATATAAATTTTTGTGACATAAAATATTCATAGTATCTAATTATATACTGTTTTGTTTATAATTCAGGTGCAACTCGGGGAAGAAATGCTTGCTTACGGTGACGTAGACAGTGGAATTGAACATTTGGCCAATGCAGTAGCTGTATGTGGCCAACCGACTCAGTTGTTACAAGTTCTCCAAAAGACCTTGCCACCGGATGTTTTCAAGACTCTGGTACAGCGACTACCATCGGTGGGCCAGGTATAACTTTGCATTTAGGCAAAAAAAAGGAAGGATACAAAAATAACATAAATTACTTATAAGGATAAGATAATATTTATTCTTTTGTCCTACTTTTCATTTAATTTATTTTTTACAGAAACTAGTAATGCAAACTCAGATGGCAGAGGAGGATGTCGAATAGATTAATATAAAATTTCGTTGACATTTCTTGAATAAAATCGACACTAGTGAAAAGTCTACACTCATTTTTGCTTAACATAGATGCAAGCATAATTTGTATCTGTAAAACCCCGCAGTTATAACCGTCGTTTTTTATTAAATTTCGGCGTGTATATTATGAACCATATACAAGTGAACTTTGTGCGTTCACTCTTTTAGTGGAACTTGTTTTGTACCGTGTTTTGTAAAGCACAGCCAGAAGAAAAGCTAACATAGTATTAAATACTATGATAGACGCAAATTGGACATAAATTCCTTCCTACAGTGGCAGAGGAAAAATTGTTATGGAAGAATACGAGGAAAGTGTCTAGTCGAGATCACGAAATTTGCACCTGGAAGGTATATACAATGATTCGACATCAAATTACCGAATATATATATATATATCGAGAATTTTGTTTTCTCATAAAATATGATTGTTATACATTAGGTACGTGAAATACTTGAAGCTCTCCGAACTTTTGCAAATTTCAGTATGTTATAAGTATTCATTTTCTGTTGTTTATACCGCGTTTGACTGGCTATAGTTTCATTTTTATCTGTTTGTATTATCTTTTTGCTGATATTTTTATAACTAGGTTTTGTTTGTGTGATACATACCACAATATGATCACATACATATTTATAACTGTTCGATCGTAACAGTTACTGTGTAAGTTGAAGTTTCATAAAAAATGATAGATTTCATAGCATTATGTATTAGATCGGTAGCATTATGTGTTACTGTTGTTTCGTTCAATTCCAAGGAGCATATTTCTTATATGTATCTTCAGGAATTGACTCTAATAGAATAGTAATACCATTAGCATTATGTTTCAATTAGCTGTGTTCAATAGAACAAGCTATCACTGTCACATTTGCAATATTGACGACGAGTATGTATGCTGCCTTATCTTGGTGTAATGAATGTGTAAAAGGACTTGCACAATGAAAATTTATGGATCCAATTGTAATCATGTACAATTTATTGTGTAATCGTAACAGAAATAATGTATGAGATTTATTCTGGAAGGATTTATAAATAGTTGAATGAAAGTTACGGTAAAAGTCCTATGTATCATATTGCAAATGTCTAGTATATGCAGAAATTATCTATGTATTTTGTAGATAAAAATGTAATGTCAACGTACAAACGCGTGCGTAAACATAGATATATATATTATTACTTTTGATGGCATTCAAATAATACACAACGTACATGGTTCATGCCTACTCTTTATATATTAAGAGTTCCACCTTTGTAAAAATACATTGTTCCGAAAACATTTTTAGATATCAGACATCATTTTTTGTGGTAATATGTTTGAAGCTGTATGAAATGAACGTAAATGAAACATATAAAAAGAAACAAAAATAAGCAAAGAATATCTCGAAATAGTATTAAAAATATTTTCATAGCAATTCTAAGAAATGTTTGGCTTAGAAGTCATATATCGTTGATATAGGTCACACTTATTAACTTGAAATAAGGCACAGTTGATAATAGAGAGAATAGAGGTCTTTTTAATTAATATCTAACAGTATATATGTGTGTGTGTGTGTACATACACATAAATTACAATCTTTAACGATTCCCATATATAAAATTAATCACGCCTATACATAATTTATTTTACAAGATGTAACATTCTGTGCTCAATGAAGAAATCTATCTAAGATTATACGTAATCAAATTATAAATTATATCCTGACATAATACTATTTATAATTTTACATGTTGTATACACGTGATAATGTCTCAAGATATGAAACATGATTGGAAGTTCTAAAAGGATCAGCACTTAAGATAATCTATCCTCATGAAATAAGATGTCCAATGAAAGTTTAACGTTCTGTCGGAAATATATATATATATATATGCATCCATAAATTATATTCTTAAATTCCGTAAGTATAAAACAATTACAATCTGTTTAATGCAAACAGAGGTATTTCAAATCGTTATTGGCTCTAAATATGGCAGTGCGTAACAATGTAAATTGAATCGTTTTCAACAATAATGAAGTTTCTACATAAGACTGCTTCGTCAACAATAAAAAAAAGTCATGAAATAGACACATGAATTCTCGCACTATAGATACCGTTGAATCGTTAAAAACATACAAGTGCAAATAAAACTTTTCCAGTGATGACGCATCTATAGTGTCGAAAAAAAGTTTCAAGATAATAATTCGCACGACAAGCCACGCGGTAGTAAATATCTCCCAATTATATTACAATTTCAATTGTGCTTGTTTTGTATTTTTCTGGATTTACACAGGTGAGTGAAAACAACGTATCTGCGTCCGTTCAATCCAGAAAGAACAAAAGCACGATTACTTATTATATTATTTACATTGTTATTTGTAAGCTCAGCTTACAAATAATAATAGCGATATAATTTGTACTCTCTGACTCAGAACCGAGTATTCTATTGATTGAGCGTATAACGTATATGGATAACGTATCCGAAGTGTGTAAAATCTGGATTATTGTCGATAATTGGCGTTTTACATAAACTTACTCTATAATACATGTTCGCAACTAAAGACCAAACCTCGTGAACCATACTTGACGTAACTATTTCGAGTTAGAAATTGCGTTCCTAGCTTCCAACATAATGTCGACGGCATTTTTCTCTATCAGGCTCTTAGCTAAATCTTTACCAAGTTGTTCGGCACCAAGAAGACTCAGGGCACTCATTCTACCGGGAACAATACCACAGTAAAGGCGGGGCTCTTGATACGGACATTTTCTACATAGCAGGAAAACAAATGAAATTACTGCAGGAGTCAGTGGAATTTGTGAAACGTTCAAAAATATCCATCCATAATAAGACATCGATATCGACATGTGTAACCTAACCTATTTGAACCCGAAGATTCTCTTTCGCTCACCTCGGAGGTTCACCGTCATCCTTGGGCAAATGCAATTTACCGTTACGGGTATCTGTAATCAGAGTTTGGCCGTCCAAGGACCACACAGCACCAGTGATCGTTAACTTTTCTCCTTGCAGAGACGAAGACACCGCGACAGGCGCGGAACACCCGCCACCGAGGGTCTTCAGGAATGAGCGTTCGCACACGCATCTCAAAGTAGTCTCCATGTCGTATAATGGTTCTAACAAAGAACGCATCTTCCAATCTGACTCCCGACACTCGACACCCAACGCACCCTGGCCAACGGCGTAGAGGATTTCATCAGGTTCTAGAATCTGAAAGAGTACGGGCATATACAGTGGCGGACATATATTTACGTACAGTTAGGAGAAATTAAATTTTATCCATTGTGTACTTATACATGAAATAGTTAAACAAAAGTCCATTACGTTTTTTACAAGTTTATAGCATATATTATGAGATAGTAAAACAGTGTTTATTAATTTACTATAACTAAGAAGTTTCTTGTGTTTGTTTACTCAAGTGTCATATTTTCTGCGGACACGTACTTGCGTACACTGCGGTAATACACAGATAGGTCAAAATTTCTGCAATGTAAACAATACTTATCTGTATCTACCGAGTAATGTAGGTAGAGAGACGTGTTGTGACAGTACCGTAATGAGTAAACGAAAGAATATAACGCCAGAACAACGTCGGCAAATACAACAGCTTCGCAAAAATGGGAAGTCATATCGAAAAATTTCTACGGAGCTTGGGATATCTACTATGGCTTGTTATCAAGCTATACAATATATTAAACATCATGGGACGCCAGATAATGTTTCTCGTAAAGCGAGACCTCGAAAAACCAACATAAGAACAGACCGTAAGATTCATCGATTATCTGAATCAGATAGATTTAAAACTACAGTTGATATTCACGCTGAAATATTATTAGATCATTGATAAAAATATATATGTTAAAACTGTCTGACGTAGATTGAATTAATTTCAATTACATGGACGCGTTGTTAGAAAGAAACTATTCGTATCAGAAAAGAATCGTCGAGCTAGAATCGCTTTTGCAAAAGAACATTTAAACTGGACGCAACAATGATCTCGAGTTATTTTTACTGACGAATCTAAGTTTAATCGATTCGGATCTGATGGCAAAGTATATGTAAAACGTCGTGTAGGTGAAGAATATCGCCAGAATTGTATGAAACCAACTGTAAAAGGGGGTAGCGGGTCAGTAGTCGTATGAGGTTCTATGACTATTAATAGTACAGGTCCTATTCATCGAATAAAAGGAATCATGGACAGATTTACGTACTTGAACATCGTAGAAAATGTACTGCTTCCATTTGTTGAAGAATATGTACCGGAATAATGGATCTATCAAGCAGATAATGACCCGAAACACACGAAAAGCACGCGTCGTCAAAACATTTTTAAACGACCACAATATACACGTAATGAAATGGCTAGCACAATCTCCGAATCTAAATCCAATAGAAATGTTATGGATCGATGTGGACAAATATGTAAAACTGCAGAAGCCGAAGAATATTGAGGAACTATACGTTATGGTAGCAGAAACTTGGAATTCCATATCTGTTAATCGGTGCAACCGGCTTATTGAAACTATGTCACGAAGGTGTGCCACAGTTCTTAGTAACAAGGGTTTACCTACCAAATATTAACATTATAGTAATAAGTCAAAGAAACTTGTTAAAATATTCGTGTTCTTATATGTACATAAATACATGTCCGCAGAAAATATGACACTTCAGTAAACAAACACAAGAAACTTTTTAGTATAATAAATTGATAAACACTGTCTTGCTATTTCATAATACATGCTATAAACTTGTAAACAACCTAACGGACTTTTATTTAACTATTTCATGTATAAGTACACAACGAGTAAAATTTAATTTTCCTAACTGCGCATAAGTATATGTCCGCCACTGTATGTATCAGGACGATTAAATTTTATGAAAAACGGAAGAAACTTCAAAGAGAAGCAATTGGTTCTGTTCTTTTTAACTGAACTGGTGCAGCTAAACCACTTATGAGAAAGGAAAGAAAGCTAATTTTAAAGATAGACAAAAGAAACTTCAACGATCATGAGAAACGAAAAAAGGCTACTACAGAGAGAAGAAAGAGAAGGATCATACCTGACTTATTCTATCCTCCCAGCCCATTCTCTTTAAACCGGCGGCAGCTAATATTATCGCTGCGTAGGGGCTCTTCTTGTCGTCCAGTTTACTCAATCTGGTATTCAAGTTGCCACGAACGTTCTCCACCTTTAAGTGAGGCATGTTCCGAGCTAGTTGTGCGGACCTGCGCAAGGAACTGGTACCTATGACACTACCCTTCGGCAACGTAGAAAGCTTCTTGTCCTTGAATTTCTTTGACATGACTACCGCATCCCGTGGATCCTCGCGTCTGCGCGAGCAAATTATCAATTAATGCAAACATCCGTTTCTTCTCTTACGAGATCCAATAAAATTCCCTATACTTGATAAATAGGAAAAAAAATATTCCGTAAACATTATCGTTTCTTTTTTTCAGGTAGGGGAGACTTAAGTGTACACAAACAAGATGTTTCTTTCATGAAAATGACAATGCACATTAGGGATACATTTGAATACCAAATTTGCGTTTTCATTTGCGACCGTCGAGCAAACCGAGCAAAATATCAAAACAGTCAGTGGTTGTCCGTAAACAACCCCGGTGATGCGAACAAATATATCCGAAAGTGCGTTGAAATGTAAAATAATAACAATACGACTAAAAATAGCATTTCCGGTATTTTTTATAGTTTGAATGAATTATGAGACAACTTACTTCAATAATACACCTAGTGCCATCCCCGCTGGTAGTATCGTTGGCAAGTCCTTTAAAGAGTGTACGACAAAATCAAGACTGCCCTGTTCCAGAGCTTGTTCCAGTTCCTCGGTAAAGAGAGACTTCTCTCCGATCTTTGGTAAAGACTTGTCCAAAATCTTATCGCCCTTGGTAAACATTGTGACTGCAATTCGATCGCAGTTTGTAAGAAGAGAAATTGTGTATGAAAAAATGATATTTGTAATTTGACGTAATTTGTAATATCACTAATAAAAACAAATAATAATGCGTTTTATCACATGAGATGTTTGTCGTATTTTGTATATTACACGATACATGTGTAACAGATACAATGTATTGGATACGTGTTTTTACTCACCTATCTCGAATTCTTTTTTTGGATAATATTCTTTTAAACATTGTATCACGTGTTTAGTCTGTATTAATGCCAACTGAAAGAAGCAAAAAAGATGTTTTCCTTCGGAGTAATGCTAATGTACATATTTGACAAAATATCTCTCATACGTAATAAAATAATTTCATAAATTTTCGAAAAATAATATAAAAACGGAGCTCAATCCAAACATGCTCCGATATCATTTATTTGCCGAAACAACAATCTTACTTATTCAATTATTATAAATATTATATCGCGATTGTACAAAGTGACTTAATAAAAGTGATAAAATTAATCTGTTGTGGGACCAAGGTGATTTGATAAAATTAATTTATCTGTACGCATGCTTTGTCACTGTCATTTTATCATTAACGAGGATTGAAAAATCGCTGAGCAACTTCGCGTAAAGCCTGTATCAGATCAGATATTGGACGTCAAGAATATCGAATTAACTTAGAGACATACTTGACTTAGAGATAAAAATTCAACAAATCAACTAATCTCGAAATTGCTCTATTTTGTCCCGGTTGTTCAAATTGCAACTTTTAATTTCTGCAATCTTTCATCTCCGATACCAGTCTGATATGGGCTTAAGTGATAGTGAGTGATCTGACAAAATTGCGCAACGATTATGAAAGATTATTCCCTCGCGTTTACGTCAAGCTATTTGCATTCAACGAAGATTATCAGGTATTCGATCGAACGTAAAATTCGGTCAATAGAAATCTGCGATACGAATATGTAAGAACAAACATAACCACGAATCGTTGGGTTCGCGTATGCGAAAGCGTTCACTTCGACGTATCTTTCACGTGTATCTAATCTCCTTTAAAACAAAAGTAACTGTTTATGCTACAATCATTACGTGGAGCAGGATCTTCCTCTTTTTATTTGGCTAACTTCTTGAATGGAATAATGTCGTATGTGTATAAACACATTCGCAGATGCAAAATAAACACTTCGATCTGAATTGGGAGTTTCTTCTTCAGTATTTCAAACGGGATCAAGAGGAAAATGTGGTGTTTGCACGGAGAAAAAGATATTTATCGCCTAAGTATTTAGATGAGATGTTATCAGAGAAAGAAAACGTCTTATCGAACAAGATTATAAAACTATACAAAAAAAGAAAAAATTAATGAGTATTTCTTTCTATAAACTAAAACTCTGTAGAATTTATTCCTGTGATAAGCTTCTTGTCAAGAAATAATTAAGTTTCTTCTCAAAAATTAAATATGTTCCTCACCTTCTCTGTATCAATTTTAATTCCTACGGGTTAGATAGGTAGATTAATTTTAACAGAATTGACAAAATTCCTCTTGTGTTTCTTTCCAATTAATAAGATATCAAATGACGTTTCAATGATGTCTTATTGCTGTTAGACATATCATTTGACTGCCTTTGACATCACCTTGCTACTTAGGTTCTTTCCATATGATTGGAAAAAAAACAGTGGATCACCTAGAATGAGGCTCCTCATTTCTATTTTTGCTATAAAAACACGGAGTATCAGTTTCTAAACAAAAATATTCAAGCTTGTTTTTTTCTTTTTTTACAGAATAATTTACAATCTTATTTACTGAGACATTTCCTTTTTCTGGTAACATCTGTTTTGAATTATATAAGGTTCCAATTTCTCTCTCTTTCTCTCTCTCTCTCTCTTTCAAAAACCTCAATCCGGACCAAAATGTTTGATTTGAAGCGCTCATAGTTGCTCTTATTTATGTTCACATCATGCTCTTCCTTCCTCGGTCAGGAAGTCATCTACAAAAAGACCAAGTGCCTCACGTAATAATTGTCGTGTAATTATCCAGCTACGTTTTTCGAAGCGGATTATACACGTACATCGCTGAAGCAGCCGACGTTTTTGCAATCACTGATGCGATACGAGTCGCCAGAGCAAGATTTCAACACTAGCGAGAAAAATCTCGAAATCGTGTCACCCGTAATTCCCGCAATTTACAAAGGTTTCTCCGGTAAATCGGAGAGTTCGTAGACACTTACTTCGCTTTTCCGAGATCCCACTCGGATCACATCACATTTCTCCTCGCTGTTCATCGTTACGTTTCCGGACATATCTGGCCGGGGTAAATTCCGACGTTCACGGACACGAGATCCGGCAGACGGATTTTGGAATGTGTATCAGAGACACGAGATGCGTGTGATTGGGAAACCACTCGGATTGAATTTGGAATTGGGTCAGAGTTGTAGACACTTTCTCTATAATCCAAGCTATAATAACCTCACCTCCGACCTCAGTAAGCACGATCGTTTCTACGAGAAGACACGTGACGGATGGGTAGGAACTTGATCGAATTATACTGCGTGTTCACATTAATTTTACGCTATTTCACAGTCACTGGCACTGCAGCAGAATGTGAAATGAATGAGCAAAGATTTTGGAGAAACGACGATCGCACATTAACCTTTCGCCATAGCTATCTCAATACGACTGATGAGATTGCTATTTGCGACAGAATGGCACGATGACTCTCATGCGAAATCTTCCCTCGAGGTGACGTTGGTCGTCCGACTTGGTCGGTATGTGTCGGCCTTGAGGAATTCTAAATTACCAACAGTCAAGTGTAGTACGACACAATCGGTATTCAACAACAAATTGGTTAGTTTCACGTGGTTCCCGTCGCGTGTTTACGAAGCTGGACGGTTTGTACCAGTCCTAACTGAGAAACAGGTACAGAAGCTAGACGATTTCACGCGCTAACCTAAAAAAACGAGTACCGCGAGTGTGAGAAGCAGGGAAAATAATATAGTTCGTTAAATATTTGTGAATCCTGAGTTGGAGATAGAGACATTTAAAGAAAAAAAAAAGAGAGAAAAACTACAAGTATCGTCAAATTTCCCTTTTGGTTTGAATGTAAGCGTTGAAAAGTATGATAATTAGATTGGGGGTAATTTAAATAGTTCTTGATGTTTAGTCTCTAGTTTCTTCGATGAATTGATTAGACAAACAATATCCCCTGTGTTTCACTTTTCTTTCTGTATTCTATATTTTATGTATTTCAATTGTTGCCTTCTGTTTTTCCAATGGCTAAAGACACCTGAACTTTGTTCCATGTATATTCTTTTACATCAGGAGACTGCTGTGTGTCATTGGTGCTGTGTGTATACAAGACTGTACGGAAGTGATACATAACAAAAACATTCAGTAGTATGAGTAATAAGACCATGAATTTCTCAGATCTGAAGTTGAATTCCTGGCTTCTCACACAGTGCAACACTATGGGTAATTTCTCACAAATATAATTTATAAAAATATATTCTATTGTAAACTATGAATATTGGTAATGTTTATTTAAAACTTGACAGCATTTGCAATTTTGTGTCATGAGTATTTGACATGATTTATTTTCCAGGCTTAAAGAAGCCAACTGCAATTCAACAAAATTGCATTCCCCGAATATTAACAGGCGAAGATTGCATAGGTTGTGCTAAGACAGGTAGTGGAAAGACTTTGGCGTTTGCCTTGCCCATTTTGCAGAAGTTGTGTGAAGATCCTTATGGTATATTCGCTCTTGTGTTAACACCAACAAGAGAACTAGCTTTTCAGGTACGATAAACAAATACTCTTTTCTTTTATACAACTACATTTTGTATACATTTTATATTCTATATTTATAAATTGTGCTTTATAGTAAACAGTGTTTTCTATCTTTGTTCTTGAAATAATGTAAGAAGAAACACTATTATCTTATATATATAGGAGAACTTTAAAATTTACTATAAAAATTATGACAATATGGTTTCAGATTGCTGATCAATTTGCTGCCATTGGCAAGGCTATCAACCTGAAAAAGTGTGTGGTGGTTGGTGGCATGGATATGATGGTGCAAGGATTAGAGTTGTCGAGGCAGCCACATATAGTTGTAGCTACACCAGGTCGTCTGGTAGATCATTTAGACAGCTGTGATACATTCTCCCTGAAGAAGATTAAATTTCTGGTACTGGACGAGGCTGATAGACTGTTGGGTGGTCACTTTGACCAACAGTTGAAAAAGATTTTCATCGCGTTGCCGGAGCAGAAGCAAGTGTTGCTGTTCAGTGCTACAATGACAGATGACCTTGATAAAGTGAAGAGTGTAGCGTCCAGCAAGGTATTTTGATACAGTGTGTGAAAGTTGTTGTTCGTCGTACCATGTCAAATTGTATCTGGCAGAGGCGAAAATCTGAAATTCTTATTCAAGGTGTTTATCTGGGAGGAAACAGATGTTGCTGGCATTGCCACTGTGAAGGAACTGGATCAGCGGTATGTGCTGTGCCCCAAGGATGTAATCGATTCGTACCTGGTGGAAGTGATCAGGACGTTTCGCACCACGAACAAAGATGGCTCCATCATGATATTCACCGACACTTGCAAGTACGATGATTGATCTTTATGTACAAGAAGAGCTTGAGTAAAGATCAGTTCTAATGTTTTCTCCCGAAGGCTTTGACACTCGAATTTTGAATCTCCGGAGATTCGAAGTTTCGATGTTCATTATTCGAATTTCGAATACATTGAAGTTTCGAAACATCGGAATTATAAGATTTTTTAATTGTATAATGTCTGATACATTTATTCATGTACAAAAATTCATTGACAACATTTCTTAGTATTCCATGAATTAAATATACGTAGACATTAGTCTACAGCATTCGCAAGATTGTGCTCCTCGAAGCGTCAAAATTTCAAAGATCACGGCCTTTGGAAACGAGGCTTCGCCTTATTAAAATTCGAAAATTCGAATTTCCTTTGAAGCTTCAAAATTATCGAAAATCAACAGTCCTGGTAAAAGTCGCTCGCAAGTTCCTAACCAATACATGCGACATTTCGTATTACAATTAATTACAATTCATTACTCCGCGTGTTTCAGAAATTGTCAATTGTTATCAATGGCGCTGAACGATGTTGGATTTACGAACGTGGCTCTTCACGCGATGATCAAGCAGAAGGAACGTCTGGCCGCGTTAAATAAGTTCAAGTCGAATCACGTGCAAATCTTAATTGCCACTGACGTCGCAGCGAGAGGTCTGGACATTCACGAGATAGAATTGGTCGTCAATCACGTAATACCGAACGTGCCGAAGGAGTACATTCACAGAGTCGGTAGAACGGCTCGAGCGGGTAGAAAGGGCATGGCGGTGAGCCTGATAACGCCGCACGACATAAAGCTGCTGCACGCGATCGAAGACACGATAGGCACCAAGTTAAAGTCGTACAAAGTGGACGGTGAGTATGCCAACCTGTTGTACATTTCCCGACGATAGTGACCGCAAACAACGAATTAATTCGCCGTTTAATCGACCGTAGACAAAGAAATTGTCACGATCCTGACGCAAATATCAGTGGCGAAACGGGAAGCGGAGATCAAGCTGGACGAGACCGATTTCTTTGAAAAGAAGAGGATCAATAAGGAGAAAAAGTTAATCTTGGAGGAGGAACTGGAGTCAGACAAAGATCAACTTTCGGACGAGGTGGACGCAGGTAAAGAGATGAGAAAGAAGAAACGCAAGAAACAGAGAAAAGTGGAGAAAAGAGTGAAAAAAGGTAATATTTGGTCTTGATAAATGTACACTGCGTCCGTCTAGTGTGTCCATGCTAGAAACTTACATTGATATATTATTATTTACATGAAAAGTTTATATTAACTTATCAGTTGCAACAATTGATATATAATGAAATATATAATAAATACGTATCATAGATCATGCAACATATGTCTATTTTTATCAAGTTAATATACAATATAACTAAAGATAAATCGTGTTAATAAATAGTTACTCTATTTCCTAATGTTTAACTCACTATAAAAGGAGAGTGAAAATAAGAATTCAATTATACGTACGAATCCCGCACTAATCACAATACATATTTAAAAATTGTCATAAATATCACAATGTACTCGATCCTTGCATGGTTTCTTTGGAAAATTACAAAAATACAATAGTTAATTTATTCTTTGTCATTTTTTAAAAAACATTTCTCTTTCTCCAAATTCTCTCCTGATTCACTAATTTTTACATTTAAGTGTCTCATATACTCTTGAACATACTATTGTGTTTGCCTATATACGAGCGTTTGTAAAGTGCTGTATATTAAAGAATGCCAAAAGATGGCAACCTCGTATAAAAATATATAATACGCTTGCTCATAAAAAAACAAAGATCTAACCTCAAGTCTTCTAAAAGCGCGCCCTAATCTTTTCTTCGTTCTGTATCAAATTCAATTTTTGCAAGAAGGCGTAAAGTTCGGCGACGTATTCCTTAGGATATGTGTAGAAATGAGCGACGTGCGGCGACTCCTCGAATATCTTTACGTAAGTCTGCAAGATAAAATCAATATACACAGTAAAAACGTGTGCATATTTATAAGTATGCAAAGTAAGGACGTTTCTGTCGCAATTTTTCCGATGAGTCGATGAACATAAATCTCACCTTAATTCCCAAGGATTCCCAATTATCCCGTAGATTCAGATTGCTGGTCGCCGTACCGACAGGATCGGTTTTGCTTATGAATAATAACGATGGCACACGCAGGAAGGTCGAGTGAAATAATTGACTAGACCGAATATAGTACTGCGTCGATTGCTTGTAGAACGTTTTCATGTGGTATCTGGAAGCCAAAAATTATGTCATTTCGTTGTAAAATCGCAAAATACCTAAGCGAGAATATTCTGTGCAGTAAGTTTTTTGCGCTACCGAGACGCGTTAACGACATTTTGATCGCGTTATCGAGACACGCTGCACATTTCGCAACGCGAACTTTAGACAACGCGTCTAGGCAATTACCATTATCGCTAAGCTATTTCCTGTCGCGAAATTTATACACGTTTGGGTACGCTCATTGTGATAAAGCCGAGTGTTACAAATACACTTTATATTTTATTTCACAATGTGCCTATGTAATTATGCTACCCTCTAATTAGGGATGTTGTGATATTATTGATATAAATTTGGTATCGATATTTTTCTTCCAATACAATTGGCACGTGAAGTCGGGCCAAACGATTGTTTAATACAACTGTACAATCGATACCGTTTTTTGACTGGTAATATTAAAACGTCAACCTTGAATTCAATGGCGTGTAATAATAAAAAACAAAATCGTTCAAACATTCCAGACAGCACAACGGCTCTAAAATCTGGTTTTGAGATATCTTAATCCCGATCTACCAAATATTTTAAGCCTTATTAACTAAAGAAATCAACCGATCACAGTCGATTATTCTCTTTACATTCGATTATGATTGGTCAGTTTTTTAAAGTTTAAGGCTTAAAACACCTATTATAGACCAAGACTTAAGGAAAGACGTTTTAAAGGCGTCTTATGACCCGATTTTGGACATACAGCCTGGAGCTCTCTGTGCGTACGTGCGTGCGTGCGTATGTCTTATTTTTTTCACACTTACTCCATATACTTTCGCAACATCGACTGTAGCACCTTATTCTTCGGGAACACAGCGCGAGGCATGCCGAACGGAATTTGACCGACGTCAACTATACTGTCCCAGACCTGACCGATAATCTTGTCTGCGATGTCATTGTATTTCTCTCTGTCTCTTTGCATTATATCCAAAACCTCGCCCCACATGTAACCGCCCACTGAAAAACCATGCAGCAGAATCTGTTGGTAACTTTCATTCTGCTTTAGGAAAGACAGCAGATCCACTGCAACTAGCTGAAAGCGAATTTCGAAGATTAGAATAGATCTGTTTCTTTTTTCTTAGCTGAACTAGATTGCGCTTTCTTTAGAATAAAATGACAGATCTGTTTTTTTTCGCTTCAACTGTCTATACTAGTTTATACTAGTCCTCCACTTTCTTCCACCAAGTCTTAATTGTGTATACAATTGTGTACACTTTTTAAGTCTTAAATATATACTAAAAAACAGACCTAAATATACAAGGTATCCCGGCATAAGGAGGACACTTAAATATCTCCTTTGTTTTTATTGATATGAGAAATATATCAATTTGAATGATTTTGAAAAAATACCGCGGAAGGAGAATTTGTTCACAATCATTATTTTCGATTGTTTTTAAGATCATATTTAGGCTTCCAGGACATTTAGATGTGTTCTCCTTATGCTGGGACACCCTGTGTAATCGAGCAGTGAAGGGGAAACAAGGAATAATGTTGCAGTGCAATACTAGCTCACCTAAAAAAAGAACAGGCCTAGTAACTAGACTAAACTAGAGTATTATTCTTGCGCATAGCACGAAGTAGTCTCGCAGGTCACTCACTCGGGAGCCCTTCGTGGGCCACATAAGTTGCCAGGGCGTGAGAGACACCAATGCTACATCGAATCCTTGCTCCATATACAGGTTGACGAATTTCATGACGTGCCGTCGCTTCGACATCAGCCAAGTAAGGATAATCAACAATGGGCGATTGTGGCTTGCTGCATTGACATTCTGCACGACACCCTTGGACAGTACGATGCGATTGTCTTGCGTGAGGAATTCGATGTTCTTGGAAAAATGATGAGATGACAGCATGCGTGCCAGTCTTCCAATAGCCTGAAAAACATCAATGATGAGTGTCTTTAAGAGACATCAACAAAACTACTATAATCCAATTGTATGGTTACTCATACAGATACATCACCACGTATTGATTATGCTTGGACAGCTGCGATTGCGTATGCAAATTAATTTGACTCTTCGCAAGAACATTGCGCAAAGTCCTGGCGACGATCATCATGACGATGAGGAGGAACTCTCACCGCTGTCTCTGCAGCAGCTACAATGTAAAAGATTCAGTTTTATCTTTGAACTTTGATATACAACGTGTACTCAACTTAAAAGAAAAAAAAGTAACTGAATGAAAAACGATAAGTAATTAATTAGTCATCAGTTTAATTTATGGGGCACTCACACCGACTCGGCACTCTCAACGGGCGACTCGGCCAAGCACTGTGCGTTTCTTCGACTGTCTGCACTTTCGTGACCGCCTCGCCGACTCTATATAATCAGCGTCTTGTCAGGATTGGCCTACCGATTATTTTTCATGTAATTATCTCATGCCCTACTCCCCGGGTGGCTGCGGTCTACCGAAGAGTTCAAATTCCACTTGGCCGGCCAATGTGCATCCTCGCCGTTTCGCCTGGTCGTAATCGAGTTCTCTCCTCCCGACCGTTCTTCCGACTACCGAAACAACGAGGCAACAATTGGTATCGCCATTCGCGTAGACAATAAGCTGAACTCGGAAATTACCGCCGTCCCCGACGTCGGGCCTACCGCTGCGAGGCGTAATCGGAATCGCACTCCAGACACATATACACACGCAACATGCACACCACTACCACAAAGGACCGAAATTACTTACGAATGAGATTGTCTACCTCCTTGTTATCGCAAGCGGCGATGAAAGATAATTTCTCTCTCTCAACAGGTGTGTTTATATCGCTTATTATCAAAGAATAAATAAGCCTTCGGCGGCCGTTTTCAGTTGGTGGGGAAATTAATCATGGAGAAACTCGATATCTTCGCAAACACCGGCAGCGTGACGTCGTGTAACACGCGCCGTATACGCGCCGTATACTGTCACGCACAAACGCCGCCGACTATATGCCCACTTTTTTCACGGGGATGATGAACGGACTTCCACATCCACGTTCACGACTGCGCGAGCTAAACGATGCGCAAGGGGCAGGAGGAGTCACTGCCACGTGGGTGCGTTCAGCTTATGTGGACATCACTCCGTTTCCTCTTGGCTGCATCCTTTTCTATTTCCTACGCTTGAAATCGAGCGAACAACAGTTCCGTCTCGGGTCGATAATAAATTTCCGTTCATTTTTTTGACTAAAAACGAACTTAATCCGGAAACAGTCACTTTGTTTTTTTTTTTAACGTAAACGATTACAAATACTTGATGTGCTTGCGTTTTCTAAATTTTTTGGTTTTTTATTTTTTTTTTAAATAGCGAGTATATATATATATATTTATAATGTCCTTTAATAATAATAAATCATAGAGCAATCGATAGTATGCTATATTTTATTAATAATAGCGACTTTTAATTGTAATCTAAGTGACTCTACCATGTGACTATTTTCGGGTATTTAACACTAGAACTACCGAGAAAAAAACAAAGCTATTTCTACCAAAACCAGTCAAAATGACTGGTCTTTAAAAAATACGTAATAATAGAATATTTTTATATTTATTAATTTATTACTATCTTACAAAAGGAATTTAAAGTTATAAAATTACAACTATTTATGACAACTATAAAATATAAAGTAATTATTAGATACCAAAAGTTATGATTCGCCACATTTCTTACAAATGTAATTTTTCTTCAGAGTGCATTTTCCACACACATATTTTTTACACGTATTACAAATGATGGTAGTCTTATTATTATTACAGTACTCTGACATCATTTGCGTGAACAAGGTGAGCTCTTTGAATTTTGTACATCAGCCACTCGTGACTCCATTCCTGGTTTTACATTTTCAATGACAAGTTCACTTGCTAGTTGAAACATAAAGTCTTTTCTAGATATCTTCTTACCTGTTGTTTCCCTATACAAGACCCAGGCATTTGTGCCAGTTAAATCTAAAATGTAAAAAACTTGGAGTGGCCATCTTTTTGATCCTGATTTGACACTGTAGTTCTTTGCCATTTGGTCTGTAATGTCTACGCCAAATTTAGTTTTATTATAAAACTTAACTGTTTCAGGTAAGCTCCTATTACTTTTTTCAATTATGATGGATTTATGTTTCGAACTCAATATAAAAACTTTCTTTTTCGGCTTACTTTTGTAAATTGTAGGAATAATCTTATTTGATCTATAAAACAATGATGAAAAACGAACCATTGTATCCTTCTTTGTTTTACAAATTTTTGGTAATCCCCTTTTGTTGCCGTGTATAGTGCCAATCAGTGTGGTTCCTTTTGAAAACAATTTAGATGCCAGCGGTAAGCTTGTAAAAAAATTGTCAGTTGTTATGGATCTTCCCTTCATAGTATACGGTTCGATAAGTTTGAGTACGACAAATTCACTAAGAAGTTGTGTTACTCGTGTTTTATCTTTTCTTAGATAAGGAAACCCATTTAGAATATATTTCGTTTGAACATCAGATGCTAGCCAAAATTTAGTACCAAACTTGTCAGGTTTATTCAGCAAATATTGCGTAAAACGGCATCTAACTTTAGTTGGAAAGAGTTGTTCATCAATCGCAATATTTTATCCTGGCTTGTAGCAATTCTGACTATTTTGAATAAACCTATCCCATACTATTGATATCAAAGCAAATTTATCATTTTTTAAACATTGACTTCTATCATTCTTTTTATCGAAGCGAATAAATTTCAATATTTTGACAAAATCATTTCGACTCATGGTATCGGAAAAGAAGTGTGGTCCCCATTTTCTATTCCATAAATATAACAGTTTCAAATTATTTGCTTCGTATGCTCTCCGTACATACAAAATTCCAATAAAAGCTTTAAATTTTTATAAAATTTTAACCGCGTGAAACGGTATCGATGCTATTGTTACGTTATACCACGGCTATGTTTATATGTCTATATTGTATTATCAGATAAGCCGTGGCGTGCGATAAAATTTTCTAACAAAGAACTGATAAATCCATCTAAATATCTAATCAACGGGGTCGGGTTCGGGAAACAGATTATAGGATACTTTTCCACTTCGAAAAGTAACAGTCAAAATGACTGGTATTGGTATAAGTAGCAATGTTACAAAATTATTTTGATTCAGTGTACAAAAAAAATGAAATTCATTATATTACACCTTTAGTTATCCCTGCAAAAGTCATTACATTATTGCGGAAAAAAAATACAACATGAAGTAGAAATTTTATAATAAAGTTGTAAAACCAGTCATTTTGAGTGGTGTGGTAGTTCTAGTGTTAAACGAGTCTTTTTATTCAAACGTGGAGTTGTTTTACTTTCTAAGAACTTATTTTCTAAGAACTTATTCGAAAGTAAATTTATGCTTGACAAAGAGGTGATAAGAAAACCTGTAATTAAACGACCCCCCCAGCTACTGAAATTAATATATCTGTAATTAAGTTGTATTTTCAGTTGTATCTTAAGTACTATCAGCAAATTTAAATTTCTTTTAACAATGAATCAAGTAAGGTGATTTTTAAGCATTTTTGCTCACTGAATGCAAAAGCATTAAGGAAAAATCTATTTTCCAGCGAATTGTGGTCATGAATCTCCACCCTCTATGTCGCATAAAATTACGTGCCCTTTGTAAAATTTTATCTGTATCATCATACACATCACAGAGAAAAATAATTTGCTGGCACAACAAATTTTATGCTGTCGCAACAAAATTAGTCAGCCATTATGTGGACAGCAAAATGACTTGTTAAGACTACTTAACCACCATTCGCTCGATTATTTTACTGTAAGAATTAGTAAACGTAGGAAAATACTATCTTATTCTAACAATAAGCTAATGTGTTCTAAGGACTAATTCACTCGGCAGAATATTTTCTACCCTGACAACAAAACTGTTTCTGCTTTAATTACGAATAATTCGCTAATTTGGTTATCTAACTAAATTTTATTACTGTCGCAAAGAATATTCAGTAACAGCAATGATTTCGCTATAATAACAAAATTATTTTCCTTCATGTATATCATGCATACATTCATTTCTGCAAATTAGTGATTTTAACGATTGCGTATATGCGAACGATTAGCGGCACGCACGTTGCATAAGAGTTTGAGTGAACAGTGCATAATAAATATGAAAGTTTAAAAAAACTAATGATGATTAACTTATTCGGAAATTTTCATATTTAGATCACTTTCATCATTTTTATCGCCGCATGGAAAAAAATGTTGCTAACATAGCAAATTGTTGTTTAATATGAGGAGAACAAAAAGATTTGTTACACGCATGGAAAATAATTTTGTTGTATAGTAAAACCATTTTTGTGATAACGATGAGATTTAGTTGGCATAGCCAAATTATTTTGCTGTCTATATATCCAGCAAATAGCAATTAATATTCTTAATAAATTGTTTTGCAAATTTTTCTGCCGTCTCTGTAATAACTAACAATTGGCTGTATCAGCCAAATATTTTTCTCCGTGCGCAAATCGATTACCGTGTGAATTTATGTTTCGTTCATATTTATATTTATAATACGGAATATGAATAATATTTCTCTAACATTTAAACACGGATGTCTGTCTTGACTGTCAAGAATAATATTTCTCTAACATTTAAACACGGATGTCTGTCTTGACTGTCACTCGTATTCCGCATTTTCGCCAGTCAGCATCGTTAATTCACACGTATTTTTCATAATGACGAAGTTGAACGCGCAAATTTACAAATAACCTTCAAAGCCCTACACTAGCCGATAACATCCTGACTTTGTCGAGTCATCTAAAAAGTCAGTCGCGCATAACAAGAAACATGAATGATGAGTTTTTTTTAAATACATTACTCCGACAGTTATTTCTTTGCGAAACAAGAAATATATGTATGACACAGTACCATTATGTTAGAACAATATGTCACCGCATTGCGTTGAATAATGCAAGCGAGAGTGCTGCAATATATCATTTCCTAGTATTTCTTTCTGAAAAAGAAAATTCCCTCCCGATATTCTTCTCGGTCTTTCTTAAATGTTTCCAGACTGTAAAAGTCTTCTGAGTTTCTTTCAAGATTGTAAAATCTGTTTATTTTAGTATAGAGAAATAAATGTAGGAATATCTCTCTTCTTTCCCCATACACCTGTCACCGGGCGATCTGGCCGTAGTTTATTTGTGCACATATACTGGGCACATCGGTCTCGGATAAGTGTTCGACGTGCTGTTAACTGTACATCGGTAAGGACCGTGTTAAGTAGCTTTAATAAAGCCTCGGCACGACTCAATTGATACGCTCGCGTGCGAAGGAGCGCTTCCACATAAAGGTAATGGCCAGCTGTTGTATTGAAGCGGCCAGCACGAATGGCGAATCAGTGCTTAGTGAAGGCTAACATTGAGGACAACAGAAAGCGGACTTCACCCGTCTGCGATTCACGTGATTGCACGGATATGCTGAGATATTAAATCGGAATCATATTGATGCAGTGTAACAGCGGAATAAAGAGTTTCTTAGGATAATCGCTGCATCGATTCTCACTACCAAATTTTGCAATGTTGCACCATACTTATATTATAACTGTTATTATGTGTGTTGTAATCTTTAGTGATGTACTTCATTGTACACATCACTAAAGACTACAATGCACATGATAATTTCAATCATAATTCCGGTTCTAATACTGCAAAATTTTGTAATAATTTTAACTATAATATTTTCTCCGTGCACCTCTGCGAAAATTCCTTCGCTTGTGACGATTATAAGTAATTTTATTTTTTTACACATTATACGAGCCTTTCAGGAACTAAATTGACCAACTCTATTTTTCGTGAATTTCATAATTTTTATACTAAAGTACTTGATTAAAGTGCTT